TTCACGCCCTACCGAGGTCACCAGTTGCCCCCCACGAGCGGCTCTCCAGCACAGCCACGGCCCCAGAAGCACAAGGACTTAATGCAGAACCCAGCAGCTTGGAGCAGAAAAGTGAACGGACTATGCATTGATCCAGGCCATCAAGTCTGCCGGAGGGGAAAGGGTGTTGCCCCATTCGCCCTCTCCTCTCTGGAAAGAAAGATGGCAGCCACATGGGAGCCTTGTGGACAGCAGGTATGAGCCGGGAGTGTGGGGGCGACTAAAACCTCATGGGTCGGGGGGCGTTCCGGTCCGTCCTTCACGCCCTACCGAGGTCACCAGTTGCCCCCCACGAGCGGCTCTCCAGCACGGCCATGGCCCCAGAAGCACAAGGACTTAATGCAGAACCCAGCAGCTTGGAGCAGAAAAGTGAATGGACTATGCGTTGATCCAGCCCATCAAGTCTGCCGGAGGGGAAAGGGTGTTGCCCCATTCGCCCTCTCCTCTCTGGAAAGAAAGATGGCGGCCACATGGGAGCCTTGTGGACAGCAGGTATGAGCCGGGAGTGTGGGGGCGACTAAAACCTCATGGGAAGGGGGGCGTTTCGCTCCGCCCTTCACGCCCTACCGAGGCCACCAGTTGCCCCCCACGAGCGGCTCTCCAGCACGGCCACGACTCCAGAACACAGAAACCAATTTCTTAACTATCTGACTTTCAGTAGAAATACTTCCAGGGTCAATAAGTAAAATAGCAGAAATCCAAAACCAACATTTAATTCTTGAACCCAGCTGGAGAAAGCAAATCACTTCACAATGCTTTTTCAGCATGTCTGATTTGGGGGGGGGGGGGTAAACTCTAAATAATAGTGGTGAATCTTTTATTGAAACAATCTAATCAAAGCGGATAGAGTGTTAACTAGAATTCATCTGCCTCACGAGCGCATAGGGACGGGGAGGGGTGGGGGGTGGGGTTTTATTGGGGTTCTTCGTGGGAAAAAATAAGTATTGGTAAAGGGAAATGTGTTTGATATTTGCATGACTGAGACATAAACCTGAAAGCTTTGTAACCTTTCCCACAGTGATTCAATAAATAAATAAAAAAAAAAAAAAATACATGGAGCTGGGGATTGAAGCCGGGTCGGCCAGCTGGACTATCAGTCTTGACCCTTTATTCCTGAATCTCACAGTGTTTTTAAAATTGAAAAAAAATTATTTAATTTTTTTATTGTATTAAGGATTTATAATTGACAAAGTTATTGATAGTTGAGTTTTAGACATATAATATTCTAACACCTAACACACTTACAGCTTTCTTTGGTATTAATTTCATTTGTTCTTGACAATATAGTAAGAGAATCCACCCAGTGTTTGTTCTTAGAAGGTATTCAATTAATGATAAGAGGACAAATGAATTAGAAATAATAGGTAAGGGAGAACTAAATTCAGTGTTAGTGGTATAAACTTTGCAGTTCAGTCCAGTTTAGTTGCACAATGGAACTGGGAACTGATTATGATAATGACTCTTTGTTTCGACCGTGTAATAAGGCATCCACCTTAGGCAACTGATGCTTGAAATGTTATGCGACCAAGAAATTGAATTTTCATTTTCATTCATTTTAATTTCAATAGCCACATACAGTAAATGGCTACTGGACCAAGTAGGACATGTCTATAGTTCAAATTCCAGCTCTATCTATTGAGTTTATAATCTGAACAAACTCCTTTATTTCTCAAACAAGGTAGTAATGTTCCTCTGTTTCACTGGCCTTAATTAAAAGAGATCTGATTTGCGAAACACGAAGTTCACTGTGTAGTGAAAGGCAAATCTTCCTACCCGGCAGCAGTTCATCTAGTGAAAGCCACCCTTTGGGATATACCAACCCCTTCCTACTCCCACTGTCTCTACTGCCACCATAGAGGAAAAGTAAAACCAAGAGGTGAGAGAGTGAACAGGTCACAAGCCAAGTGCACAGAAGTGGAAGATTGTCATCTCTGTCCGATTTCATTACAGGCAAGGCTTTTTCATTAAGCAAGCGAAGCAAGGGCTCCGGCTCCGTACAAGCACCAAGAATTGTCTGGACTGAAAAACGTCTTGCACACGTTGGTGACTAGTATTAAAATTCATTCTGATTCCACTGGGATTAATAAGACATAAATTAAGACATAAAATAAGACATTGCTTATTTTATAGCAGCTTTGTGTTGCTATATAGCTCCTCAATCAACAGACATAAAAAGGACAATTTCTCACATGAATCTTTCTATACCATAAGGCATTCTCATCCTTTGTTAAAAAGGTTAACACCTTTAAAAAAAGACAAACACACACACAATTTAAATTAAATTTCTCAACTTAAAAATTGAGAAAATGGTGATGCAAGAGACACCATAAGCCAACAGATAGTCTATCTGTTAGAAATACAAGTGGTGGTTTTTATAATTTAAGTCAGATAATAGGGGAAAAAATCAATAAGTAATTCCTAAAAGGATTCTTCAATTATCATCAACTATAGTAAATAAAGGCCTAAGTTAAAATTTTTTTTAAAATTGCACAAATCCAGAATATGTGAAATGATGCTTTAAAGCCGGTTAGGTGAAATATTTCAGAGTTTTAGAAGAGTGGTCCAGAGTGGAGTCAGGCGTCTTTTGAGAAAAGGAAGTAAAATACTGTCATACTTATATTTGCTTTTTAATCTTTAAAAAGTCAAGCTTTTAAAAATAAAGTCATTGATATTTAATATGTTATTTGATATATGCACTGATATGTTCTACTATCCATTGGCAGCAGTACTGAAATAAATACTCATCTACAGGGAGCATGCTTAAAATTATTTTACTGAGACTCAATTTAAAATCTTTAGAAATTTTAGTTTCAAAAGCTGTGCAGCTCAAGATGCATTTGCAGTATAATGTGATTATTGAAAAGAAGTCCAAATGGACTCATCATAGCTATGTTACCTTTTTCTATACAATAAACCACTGTAGAATAGGTTAGCCTATAATACTATTTTTTCCACTGTTTAAAATCAAGGTGTAATCTGTACTGAAATTTAAGAATAAGGGGCTTTGAAAACAAAGTCATATTAAGAGGGTTGAAAGAATGGAGATTGTTATTCTACCAAAAGAGAAACAAGAGGAACGAGAAATATATATGCCAGATACATATTATCTAGATTTTTATAGAGGAAAAATATCCCTTGAAGCAACAAAATTTAAAGCAATTTTTCTTTTCTCTAGTTTATTTCATAATTAAAGAATTATAATTATGATAGAGTGTCATTTGGGCAATGCAACACTAAAATTATTGGAAAATTCGACAGGAAATTTCATATACATTAACTTTAAAATTTTTTATGTCAACTAATTCTTCTTCCATTAAAAAAAAATATGGTCTTTGACCCTCCCCAAGTCCTAGACTTAAGATCTTTCATTATAAATTGCAAATATGAGCAGACATGAAAATAAAATATAAAGAAAAGGTCTTAATATAAACAAAAGAAAGATGGAGTAAAATGCATGTCCGTCACTGCATGAGAAATGGAAGGACACTTACATACTGCATCTCTGTATGGAATGATGATGACAAGCATTGCTTGTGTCCTTGAAAATACTATGTGAAATAGAATCTATTTTAAAGAAATCCCATGCAAATGCAATGCTCCTTCTTGGTAGAGCAGGGAGAGTGTACTGCTAAAAATTTCTATAACTTCTAGAACTAAATTTCTGTAAAGTTAAAATCCTGCAAAACCCCCCCACAAACCCTTATGTATAAATCACTAGCCAAATTTGCTCTAAGATTTAGTATTAAAATGCAAGCAGATCCCATTAAATACATTTTATAATGATTTTGTAATGACCAAAATCCTTGAAAATTTAGACTTGTACAAAATTTAATTTTTTTCTTGGCTTTTAAACAAACAATTGAAGGCTGCAATTAAAAAAAAACTATTTTGCTTTTCAGTGTCATTACAGAGAGAAAAATTAAAAATGAGGAAAAATGAGTATATTCTAACTTGAAGAGAATTTTTTTTAAGCCAAGCAGTTAAAAACATTCCATCTGTACTTTCTTTCACTTTCCCAGTCCCAGAATTGTATTTTGCTGAGTGGTGTAAAACAGAAATTGGGCATTTGCTTCTGGCACTGTGACCTTCTCCAGGCCCCTGGTCACACTGCCCGATGCAGTGTATTTCTGGCACACACTTGTGATAAAGCTAGAAACCATTTTCCACACTCAAGTTGACAGCAAGTGGGAGTAAAAACATCTCTCTTTGCATCAATGAAGAGTACTACACTACAAACACATTTCCTTCTTTTGTAAGTAGATGATTTTTTTTAAAAAAAAAGATTAATATAATGGGTGATGGCTCAATACTGTTCTATTTTTCTAGCTACACACATGGAAATATCTAATTTTTGTTTCAAAAGCAATAGAGCTCTTAAAGAGCATAAACTACCTCCAATGCTTTAAAAGAAATCTATAACTGGTTGGTACAATTTTTCCCGCCAAAACATACCAGGAAACCTCCCTGTGTTTAAAAATGTAACATCTCCACCATTGCATCTACACACTTGTGTACATATACAGCCCAACTCCCCACACTTAGCACCTAGTAACTAAATCATTTGAAGAGTTGATGGGAGATCAGGGAAAAGGGGCCAGGGAGGATATATATATATATATATATATATTTTTTTTTTAAAATAGGCATGCATATTTACTGAACAAGACATTTTGCTCTGTATTTTGTCTTAGCGTGGGGGGGGGGGAATCATAATCGTATTTAGACTTTATATGGCATGGGTTACTCAGTTCACAGCTGAGGCACCTGCAGCAAATTAATTTGTTGTAGCACATTAATTATCTCATGGCTTTCTATTTAGGCTGCAGCTGTTGCTATTATGTTAATAATATTTTTTATCACCACTGTATACAACAGGTTATGGCAAGAATTGAAATATCTCTATTTTTGTGGCCCCCCCCCCCCCACACACACATCCCCCTCGCTTCCATTTTTTCTCTGTCAGAAGGGAAGACTGAAAGAAATTTAGGCAAATTAAGCCCCAAAGCACACTATAATTTTCTGTTTCTGAACTGATTTGTAAGAGAATGGGTGGCTGAAATTAGCAAAGAATCACCCCACACAAAGATGGCGCGTGCAGAATTTGTGAAAGCGAAAAAGAAGACGAAGGAGAAGCAAAAGGGGACGGAATACTGCAGTGCTGGGGTGGTGAGTGTTTGGATGGGGGCGGGGGGAATGCTGCAGTTTTCATGAAATAATAAGGTGGGGGAAAAAAAGGCATACAAAGAGTAGGTTTTTCATTGTTTGCAAAATATAAACACAGATGAATTCTGTCTTTGGTTTGTTCATGCTTTTCACTCTGCACAGCAGGGATGTTCTTAAGAAGTTGCCCTCTGCGAAATTTCACTAAATGGGAACCGTGGACCCTGCATGATGGGATTATAATCACACCAGCCACTCCTTTTACATAATTTTTTGTTTAAGATCCAGTAAGGCTCTCTGGTTTTAATATATATAAAGCAATAGACCTGTGTATGTCGATAAACTAAGGGTGTGCGTCCCTATGGTCTATTACAAGCTAAAACAAAAAATGGGTGCTACCACAACTACAAATATCAATGGATTCAAAGACAATATGAAAATTTTTTAGCTGACAAGAACATGTCTGCTTGCCTGCAGTCCCTGCAATAGCTCACCATGTTGCCTACTAACCGAAAGATCAAAAATTATCGATTTCATGGCGCTGTGTGCTCTGGAAAGGAAAGCTACTTTAAATTTTGCATTGTTTGAAAAAATGATTTAAAAGAATCATTTTTTCCCTGAACACTTTGGGATGTAAAAGTAGCTTGTCTTAATCTTATCCATGATTTCCTATAATTCTATTATTTTTAGCAGCTGGAGTCCAGAAATGATTTTTTTCGATGAATTTAGGATTTTGCCGCAGTATCCATCTGCAGTCCCAGAATCCTCCGGTAAGTTAATCCTTCTTGCGATGGGAAACGCCTTTAACCTTCTTGTGAATAAAATACCTGCAACCATTTTGAAATTTTTAATAGAGAGGTGTGTGCGTGTGCGTATGTGTGTATTTGTGTGTGTGTGTGTGTATATTGGGTAGTATGTTTTCAAAGCCTGATTTCGTAGCAAAGCAGCGACAATTGTCCTAGTTTTAGAAACGCTGAGAAATATATACCTTTGTGTTCATTGGCTATTAGGGATGTATCTCTGTTGCTTCTCTTCACATTTCCTATGTCAGCCATTAAAATGTGCTTCCTTACAATGCAAGGACTTTGTGTCAAACCAGCGGTGGTCTCCAGAACACATAACTCCTAGCATGAAGGGTGTACCTGAGCATAATAGTAGCGGCCACGAGCCTAACTCCCACGGCCTCCGCCACCACCATGGCCTTCTCTTTCTCCATCATCACTGCCCCTCCCTTGCTCTGCAGTGCACACCAGATGTGAGCTTTCCACAGTGGCTCTCCCCCGAATTTGCCCAGTGGGTTCCTAGATTACTTCTGTGTGCGAGAATAGCCAACCATGTAGTCTGACAAGAGGTATTTACAACTACTTAGCCTGTTCAGCTGGAAAGAAATCAAAAGATAACACTGAATACTGAGATGATGTATTGCAACTCAAAAGTCTCAATCCATAAATAGCCCACTTGATGAACTGCTAAATGAAAAGCTGATCCTGATTACTGTCCACTGTTTGCAGGCAGTTGAAAATGTTTTTTAACAGGTCTTCACAGATAGATCGGATTTATTGTTCATGAATACCTGGAATTATTATTTAGTCTTATCTTTTGGCGGTAGGAGGATTTTTCTAGGGGCGATTCAGAGATAGAGTCTGGAGGAGACCACACCCTAGTTTTACAGATCTTTTTCTGGTGACCATTTCTGTTTATTTTTTGAGCAGAACTGATTAATAATTATAATTATACATTAATTATACATTAATTCAAAAGGAGCCAGTCATCCATTTCCCTCTCTCTCAAGGAAGCTCATTGTCTTAGTTGCTCAACAAATGTTTAATTAATGGATTTCATAAAGTTAACTATTCAAACAGTGAATGGGCCTTCTTTACAATGGTCACTTGATTAATGTTTCTGCCGGAAGTGCAGAAACAACCTGGGTATGAATTTTGAGGGGGCTAAAAGTGATTCAGAAGCATATGTTGTAGTGAAGCAACGCGTCTATTCAGGTTCCACAGAGCCATGGCTCAGTAGACGAAAGGTTTGATATTCCAAGTATTGCCTCCTCTGTAAAACTAGCTGGAGGAGACTCTTGGTTTTGGGAAAACAGTCTGAAATTCAGAATCATTTTTCTTTTGAAGTTTCACAAATAGATCAATTTATGTCAAACACAAGTTAACTGGGTAGAAATGGTGTAAACGAACCAAAGGTGTTTCTTGTTTGTTTTTTGTTTTAAATAAATGACACTTATTGCCTAAGGTGAATTATTTAAGATGTACTTTTTTCAAAAGGAAAACAAAATTACTTATTTCTCCAAGCCATCATGTATTTTGATGTCTATAATTTCTTGGTGGCTGACTGGTAGTATTTGTGTTCATTTCATAGGAGTTGTTCATTTTATTTTTTTGTGAAACAATTGGAAAATTTTCTGTTTAATAAATTCATCTAACTTATCTTAATGTTTGCGACCCAATAATTCTTCAGTACACATAGGTGTACTGAAATGATGAGAAGAAAATCTTGCTGCATTGTTGCAAATTTATATTTTCATTAATATCAGGCTTGCTTAAATAATTACTAAGGATTTTAATACCCTAACTCTAAATTTAAATTAAAATATCTTAACTATATAAAAATCTTTCAATTATTTTGGCATCTGAGTAGAGACATACAAATATAGGACTGTTTTAACCCTTCAGATGTTTTAATGGTGCAAATGTTTCATAATCAGCTTTCACACTGCATCCTATTTAGAAAAAAAAAGCAATACCTAAACATAGGAAGAAACCGTAATAAAAAAAATACCCTCCAATATTATCAATCATCTGATTTTAAGTGTATGACTTTAATCAAATCAACTACATTATTTTCTAACTATGAGAAATGAAATTGGAGATCAGTACCTGGAAATGTTATTTTATTTTTGAGTTTGTTAGAAAAACTGTTTTGATGAAATAACTTTTCTATTCCATCCATTTCTGCATTAAAATGAGCAATGTTAACCACAACCTCGGCTACACTTAATTATACAAAATTACTAGCAGAGATACAAACAAGAAAGTCGTTCTAGACAATGAGTTTTGCTGAACATCATCTCAGGGTGTGGACTTTTCCAGCCCAGGGACCATATGTACTCTGGAAATAGCAGTTGGCATAACCAATGTATATAGTAAAATGTCTTTAAGACAGGATAGAAATAGAATTAACATGTTGGCCCTAAAGCATTTGCTATGGCTGAAACTACATCTACTTTCACCACTGAATATGTAGATTTCCTTCCTTGTACCTACGTATAAAGATCTATTGTTTGCATACCTTAATCATAACCCTGGAATAAAAGCCTCCAGATAACTTTCATTGTTGCTTCTTGTATTCTCCCCATTGTTTTGGAGGGGAAAAATACATAATACAAAGAAAGTGAATGATCATAACTGTCTCAACTTTGACAAACCGCAAGCAATCTTGGTGGATTACAATGGAGACATTTCCAGGGGAAATGAAGTATGCAAAGCCAGCCTAACAAACCGATTTAGAAAGTATTTTTAAGGTACAGAAAATCAGCTGGGCTAAAAAAAAATTAGATAGTGCTCATCAATAGCTTCTTCCATAAGCAACACAGGCGGATTTCTCAGTAGTTAATGCAGGGAAATGAACTCCCTCCAAAGAACTCCACAAATAAAATCTTTTGCCACTCAGCAGCTGAGGCAGAGCCACCCTCCCCTCCGACCCCCCTCCAAAAGGACCACAGGAGAATAAACCTAATAGAGCGCCTCGCTAATTCCTATTCATCAGTGATTTTAGGTACACCTAAAGACTTGTTGAATCGTGGGCCAGACGCCCATCCTAGAGAGTTCACAGCTTTCGGAAGCAGAGAGGCGGCAGCTCGGGCCCGGGAGTTCACTTCCAGATCCAGGCTGAGCAGCCGCTGGAGATGCGGGAATCCACCATCCCGACCCCGCGGTGGGTCGGCGGGGCGGGCGGCGGTGCGCCGCTCGGCTCCCAGCCAGGTCCTGCAGGGAGAGTGTGTGGCCCAGACCTTATCTTAAGCACCGCAGAAGCCTAACTGGCCCGAGCGGTCCCCCGACTCCGACGCACAGCGGGGTCGGCGGCGGTGCCAGCAGCGGCGCGGGGTGCACGGGAGGACTATCGCTCCGATGCTCCCACCGTCGCCGCCACGCGCCCCCGAACTTCCACCCTCCCAGGACCTGTGTAGCCTGGCCCGCCCGGCGCGCGGCCCCCCGAGGGGCCGGCGAGCGGCGGGAAGCGCGCTGGCCGGTCCGGGGAGTCCGCGCTCACCATCCGGGGGGCGCCGTGGAGGGGTTTTGGGGGGAGGGGGGTATCATCGGGTCTCGCCTCGGTAGAGGCGCCTGGGGCCAAGCGTGCCCCGGCTTCCCGGCCTCCGCGCAGGCCGCCCTCGGGTTCCCCCGCGGCGGCGGGGCAGCGGCTCCGCGTCTGGCCCGCGGGAGCCTCCTCGGAGCGCCGGCGCCCCGCCCTGAGTCGGGGCGGGCGCTCGCCGGCGGCGCGGGGACTACTTTCCGCCGCGCTCCCGTGCCCCGCCCCTTGTGCTCGCGCGCAGCGACGCTCCGCTCGGCGCTGGGCCGCTGCACCGCTGGCGGCGGCAGGATACAGCGGCGCTGCCGCGACTTATAAGAGCTCCTTGTGCGGCGCCATTTTAAGCTTCTCGCTCTGTGGCAGCCGCGTTCGCCAGGCTCCGGGAGCGCAGCGCGAGGGGGAGGCGGAGACGGAGGAAGGTCCGAGGAGCCGCTCCAGTCCCCGCCGAGCCGCCACCGCAGGGCGAGGCCGGTCGGAGTCCCCCGCGGCGGGAGGAGCCTGTTCCCCCTGAGGTGCTTGGGCGCTCCTTTCCCTGACCCTTCCGGGGCTGCTGCCGCTCCCGCCGGGGGAGCCAAACTTCGGGCGCGCGGTCCTACCGGCCGACGGCGAGTCGGGCCCGGTGCGGCCCCCAGGCCCGGCGCGGGAGAGTGGGGGGCGCCGGCTGGGCGGGAGGGGGGGGTGTGTGGGCCGGCCGCGCCGGGTGGGGGCGCAGGGCGGCGGCCGGGTCCGGGTTCCGGTCGCGCTGCCCCTTGGGGGGGGTTGGGGCCCGGGGACGCCACTTGCGGGGAGGGGGCGTCCTGGAGCTGAGGGGGTCGGCGGCGCGAGGGTGGGGGGGGGCTGGGGTTTCCGTCCTGGGCTCCCGCCGCAGCCGAGTTTGGGGGGGTGGGGAGGGACCCTGCGCCTGGGGATGCGCCGGGGCCCGGGGTGGGGGGCGGGGTGGAGCCGGGGAGAGATGGGGGGGAGCGACTCCGCCTCCCCAGCCCCGGCGGGGAGTTGGGGTTCGGCCGCCCGCCGGACTTGGGACACCACCCCTCCCGTGCCCGTCTGCCTTGCGGGCCAGGGCCCGTGGACTTTTCTCTCCGGCTTCCCACTTGGGTTCTTTCAGGACGAAGAAGGAGGAAGAGAATTTGGGTAGGGAGGAGAGATCGCTGGTTCGAATTACTGATGATGATGATGATGATTTTTTTTTTTTGGCTGGGGGTTGGGGGCGTCGGTTAAAGCTTTGCCTTGTGTGACTTTTGGCGCTGGTCTTGCACGGGAGCAACTTTAAATCCTAAAGAGCAGTCTTAAAACTAAGGCGCGCAGACGGCGATGCGACAGTGGGCTTTGCATGTTAGGAACCTCGGCTCGCCGGCACCTCCTTTCCCCCTCCACCGGGGTCCCCCCCCCCCTCGGGGCCGTGATGGGGAGCGAAAGCCGAAGCCCCGGGTGCGAGGTGGGCTCGAGAGTTGGTGCATTCCTGGCGGCGAAGCTTGGGGAGGGTGGTGGGTTTGGGTGGGTGAGGGAAACTTGCTAGAAAAGCGAGGGAGGGGGTGACTGTCCCGTCGTTGCCAGCTGAGCGGCGGGCCACCGTGGGACAGATTCTACCTTGCGGAAAATTTCTCTTGGGGCAAACAGTTTTTATTTCCGAGAGAGTTTTGTTGATTTATTTATTATGCATGTATGTGTTCGTTCCCACGGCCGCTCGCCGCCGGGCTTCGGGCGGCTCCGAGCCAGGTTCGCTCTGCTGCGGGGAGGGTATGTGGCCCCCTGGCCCGGCTGGGGGTGGGCAGCATCGCCCCCCTTCCCGCGCCGGGGTCTAGTCTGGGCAAGAGGACTTGGAGCGGCGACTTTGGAAGTTGAGTTTGGAGAGCCTGCTGCTTCTCGAAGTGCAGGAGGCGTTGGCCGCCCTGTGGAGTTGTCGCCTGGGTTTTCTGTCCCCGCCGACTCCCTCCGCCCCCTCCCGGGGAGGGGCGGGCGGGGAGGGGGGGTGCGCGCATTGTCTGCTACTTTGTATCTTCCAGACGTCTGCGGTGTCCCCTCCCCCTCGAGTCCGTGCGCCGTGAATGGGGGAGAGACGGGCCTGCTGGAATGCCGAGGTCGGCCAGAGGAAATCGAGGAGTGGTTTTAGTGAAATGAGAGCTTTGTGGCACTGAGAGCGGTGGCCTAGGCTAGACAGCCTCGTGGAGAGACAGGGGCCCCTTTGGTGGAGTCGGATGTTTTTCAGGTCTCTTGAGTTGCAGCCTGTTTGGGCCAGACTCTAGGAAGCCATTTCTTTCTTTTTTTTTTTTAGGTATACTTTTTCAGGTAGCTGCACTGTAAACTTGTCTTCCACGTAAGACGTCTTAGAAGTGTTATTTTTAGTACCCAATGGCACTTTCAGTTATTTGCTTAAATTTGTAACAAAAGTACTTTAAAGACTGGGGGTTGGGGGGGTGGTAGTTCTGAACTTAAGTTGCTGCTACATTTGTTTGACTTCACATTTAAATACGCAAAACCGCCCTACTAATAAGTACTTTTATAGGGCATGAGAATATTCTTGCAGTATTTGAGTAATTTGTTCTTTATATTCGTTGTTTTGACCTAGTTTTTGTTTTGAAGGCCAGTGAAGATAAGGTCCTAAAGCGATTGCAGTATTAACTTGAAAAATTTGAAGACTTTCTATAGGCTTCAAGGAATGCTGAGACTGTTTGTCTGAAGTCCTTGAGGGGGAAAAAACTGCAGCAGAAAGTTTAGTGTAGCTTGTAACTGAAGCGCCCTTAATGGAGTCCTGGGTCTGAGATTTTCTCAGAGGTTAGAACAGCCAGTGACTTAATGGGGGGGGAAGGGGGGAGGTGGTTTTGTGCCACTTTCAGCATTGCTCAGGGTGTACTCCCCGTGCCAGAATGGTAAATGGGCCCTCTGAAAGCAAGGCATGTGTGTGGCCCCTAGAGCAATCATTTTGAAGGGCTTTCAGGAAAAAAACAAAAATTAAAAAGGTGATTATTTTTTAAAAGACATTGAGATGGTATACAAGTGTCAAGAACTAATTGTTATCCAACTTCATCCTTTACTGAGATTATTTTGTAGAAAAATACTAAATATGTTCTAGGATCAAAACCTGAATGTTAATTGTGTTTCAGTGATGAATAGAAAGTTAAGTACGGCTTTTTTTTTTCTTTATAGAATCCCTTCTTGTACCCCATAGGAAGAGAAAACAAATAGGCAGATTTTTCTGTATTTTGAGATGTAGTGCTTAGGAAAGCTGTCTTCAGATACTTTTTATTGAAGGGAGTTGTACTTAAGGGGGACATAAATATGTTGGAAATAAGAACATGGAAGATTTTTAACATTTTATTTTTAATATTATTCTTACAAATAGCTGTAAAATTTAAATCCCAGAAATGAAGTTTGTAAAGTATGTTTAACCATGTAAAATTTTTATGTTGAAATGAGACAATCCTGTCCAATTTCCTGATTTTCTTTCATGGTTTACTGATGGCTGATAATCAATAATTGGTGGTGAGTAGGTGGTAAATTTTACATTAGTACTTTGAGCTTGGTGGGTAGCATGCTTGACTGCTAACCCAGGGGGAGAAGGATGAATGGTTAAGAGTGACAAACCTCTCATCAAAAGTATTGGCAGCTCTGTTCTATGCTTTGTGTGGTGACTTGTAACAATTGTTTCGGAGCTCCTAGGTTGTATTAACTTAGTTTCCTTGTAGCCTTCTTACTGGGACTACAGTAAGAAGTCTTTTGTTCAGACCACTGGCTCAAACCTTTTTATACTATAAAAGTAAATACAAAAGATAAGGGTAGGAGCTGCTCTCTAAAGCATGTAACTATTGCGTCTTGACCTCTTGAGAAGGTATTAATTTTCAAGGTCAGTTCTCATTCTTTAATGAGCAATTTTAATATTCTAGTTTTGAGTGTGATAAGTAAGGTAATAGGCTAAAATATGATTTGTCAGGTTCCATGAAAGAAAAATACTTTATTTAAATGTGCATGATGAGTAGTGTGGTTAATGTGTAGTTTTTCTTCACTTGAGAACTCATGAGACAGTTCTTTATTTTTCCTGTTTACTTAAGAATGCTGCTTTTGTGTTCCATACAAGACTGAGCTTGACTCTGTTTGAGGCCTGAAACTTGCTCTCCTTGAAGTAAGCATATAATCTCCTTTCTCCCTGAGGAAGAAAGGCAAAGTCAACATATTATTAATCCATTTTTAGTTGAATTTATTTTTTGACTATTAATTCTGGGCATCTCTTGTTAAGTTTCTCTCAAACTTGATGCTGCAGAGAATGTGGTTAGGGCATGTTTTCATTGGATGTTTTTGTCATGTTGAGTGCCCTCCAGTGGAAATAATGTAATGCTTGTGATTTTTAACATTATAACAGGGTTATTCGGAATGTATTTATTGAAAAGTTCTGATAAGAAGCATCAAACTGGAAATTTGAGTTTTCAAATAATGTTAGTTTGAGAAAACCCATCTCATCCAATTTTTCCAGGAAAAGGGTGCCAGTTAAATTTGGGAATCATTTGAAATAAATTCTACTTAAATACATGAGATATATTTTCTTATGTAATGATAGTTGTAAGACCAAGAATTGAAATTTGTAATTTGAAACTAAAAGATTACAATGTTTAGCCGTATCAGTGAACTAAACTTTCAGAAGGTAATAGAATAAATTATCAATTTGTCTAAATGAGTTATACTATAAAGCTTGAGTAAATGCTGAACTCAGTTATATTGACAAGGAATAAATATGTCTGTGTTAGGAGCTAGACAGAAACAAGCTACCTGAGTTAGTATGTGTGAATTCTAGACTATAAGAATATGTTGGCCTGGCGATTACAGGTTTTTCCCACTGTCTAAAAGGACTTGTTTGGTATGATTGGTAGGTTATTTTTGGGTTCTCTTAATGATGTATTGTCCTTTTTTCTTTTTAAATTTTGAGATAAAGTTCTTTCTAAATAATGTGTACTTAATAGCTTACTGAAATTTTTTTCTATTAAGGGACTTATTTCTCTGTTGAGGTTAGATTTATTAATAGTACATACAACAGTTTGATTTTCAAGTTCTATGACTTAACAGTTGTCTCTCAAGATAGGTAAGACTAATTTCACATTGTAGTGGAAATGGCTACTCATTGTCTCCAGGACTTGGCACTGAGGGAATAAGTGGACTATATTTGAAGAATACACGTCTCATCTGAATCACCAATTCCTAGCAGGCTTAGCCATTGTGGGTATATTTTATTTTATATATATATTATTGTGCTGCCACATTAACTGGATTTTTCTCCTCCTGAGGGAATCAATTCAAATTGATATACACTCCTTGATTTGCCCGTGTTGGTGCATGAAAATTAGTTTTAATGCACTATTCACAAATTAAACTACCTCTTGGTAGAATACTGCCAGTTTGTAATATCTGCAGTGTGTCCAGTTGGAGTAAAATTTGATCTCCCCCCACTGCCACCTTTTTTTATTTTCTAGCTTTCCCTTTGTCGTTACTGTGATATCCCGTGGTCACGAACACTTGGTTATGCTTGCATGTTTTGGAGTCCACTTGCAAAATAGTGTTTCCATTTAATAAGGATAATGCAGTTCTATAGATTTATGAGATTTAGGATATGATTATTTAGCAATTTTCCAAGTGCCTAAATAAAATAACTTGATAATTGATTATACATTAGGAATTGTAAATTTCCTGTTAGTTTATGTGAAATCTATACTTTTTAGTTAAGGAAATAAGATAATTTGGGTCAAAGAATAATAATATAGTTAGCATCTTGTTCATGGATTTTTTTCAAATGTCTTTTAAAAAGTGGTTTCAAAATTTAATATGTGCAGTCACTTAAAAATGCTGGACAAATATTGACTATGTGCATTGATAGTCAAGTTAGCCCAAAAATTTATTGTTATCTCTCTGTAAGTCATTTCCTGATTTTTAGTTGAAGTCATTATTTGTAAGATTAATTATAACAACTGGATCCAAAACTTAAAAACTGAAGTTTAGATAAGAAGTTTACCAACTTTTGGCAGGCCTGCAGCCCTAAAAAAAAAAAAAAAATCAGAACCTTCATTCATCCTCAGCTAATTATTACTTCCTTTAAGGGTCATTCTAGTGCCCTCTATGGTGGTATCACCAATTTTGGAAAGGGCTATTTTCTTAATGAACAATTAATTGAACAGTCTACTTAGTGGTACACTGCTTTTGGGGCAGGATAAATTTATTCGGGGAAATAGATTTTTCTTTAAATTTTTTGCTGGCTGTGCAAAAGTTTTCATTTCCAGAGTTTGCTAAGTTGGGTCGTTAATCTTATGGCAAATTATGTCTTGGTTGAAAATTTCTAGAGATCAACATTGGTTTCAAAAAGCATCACCTAGAAAACAGTGCTTTATTGGGTTGTTTTAGTTTTTATATGATAATACAAAATGAAAGCAAAGTAGATCTCTTAACTTTTCCACAAAACATTTGTTCCAGAGGTTCTCATTCCAGAGCCTCTCTGTAAAGTTGATTTTGTGAAATTATAGATGTTTTCAGGGGCTGGAGTAATAGCACAGCGGGTAGGGCGTTTGCCTTGCAAGCGGCCAACCTGGGTTCGATTCCCAGCATCCCATATGGTCCTCTGAGCAGCGCCAGGAATAATTCCTGAGTGCAGAGCCAGGAGTAACCCCTGTGCATCGCTGGATGTGACCCCAGAACAACAAAAACAAAAAAATTAGATATTTTCTTTTTTTTTCCTCTTTAACGATTGATGAGTGTGAATAACTGATTCTGTTGTAGCTCTTCACTTTTGTTCCTTCATTCTTTCATTTCTCTTGTTTGTTCATGAATATTCTCAGTTTTTAATTTTTTTAATTGTGATGTTCCTGGACTGACAGATTGCTTTTAATTGATTTGTAACAGACTTTGCTTGCCTGGAACAGTAGTTGAAAAGTTGTGGTGGGGAGATGTTTTCTTTTTTAACCTGTTACTGGTTCTGTCAAGTTTTTCCACATTTCTAATCTATGGTTAGAATCTTAAATGTTGGTAGCTGACCTGGCTTGGAAGCAAAAGATGTGCAGAAGTTGAAAGGTTAGTTTAATAAGTTTTTATTAGCAGGGTTTTATGATAACTGAAAAATCACATGTACATAATTTGCATACTGTGTACATTTTTACATAGATGTGAGAAGTTAGATTTATGGCAGTTTCTTAAGGAATGCAATTTGAAGATGATTTTAAATGCTTGTAGTAATTTGCTGTATTTAGGGCTGGTGGTTGTAAGCTGCTCCCAGTGTTTTTTTTAAAGTATAATTAAGTGGTTTGGGGATAAGGGTATAGGGAGTGAGTCTGTCTTTGAAGTTTTTCATACACTAGATGAATACCACATGTAGAAGTGAGGAACCAGTTTGTTGGGGATATTTTTTAGATCAGCTGTGGAGGTTTCCAATTGGAGTTTTCATTTCTCTGTGCACAAAGTGCTGATATAGAAATTTTTATCTGAGCTACTGAAAGTAAGGTGGTGTCAAATATTAGTTTTGTTTACAAAAGTGATACTAAATGTTATATAGAAAACATTGCATTCTTTAGATTCATAAATTCGATCTTTTTTTCCTGCCACTTTGCATAATTTAGTTTTGTTTTTGGGTCAAGCCCAGTGGTGCTAGAAGTTTTTTGCTGGTTCTATGCTTAGGGATCACTCCTGGCAAGGTTCAGGGAACCATATGGGGTGCCAAGTTTTAAACCTCAGTTTGACATATATAAGGCAATTACCCTACTACTATATTGTCATTCTGCCGTCATCTTTTTGCTTAAGGTTTGTTTAGTTTTTAATCCCAACTATTAATTTTTTTAGATAGTATCGTGAGAATGCAGATCTATGTTATTCTAACTTCTATTTATATTCTCTGTGATCTTAGTAAAAGTAATAAAATAAAGTGGAAGCCAGGAAATACTAAAATTGTATCTTTTGGTAAGAATATTTGCTTGGAAAATTTCTTGACTTACTCTAACCTAAACCAAAGCCTTGGGTTTTTTTTTTTCTTCTTCTTTTAATCCTCAGGGCCATTGTGCTCCAAATTTCTCTAGAAAGTTCTCTGTAGTATTCTCTTTGCTTCTCAAACCTAGTACCTTCTTTCTCTGCAGCAGCAGTATCACTTTCACCTTAACAATCTGCTCTGTGTGTCCTTTATAATTAAGGAAGTATTATATTCTGGTCATAGACCATTCCTGACACAAGCCTTTTCAAAGACTTTGTTCCTTTAGTTGTAGCGTTATCTTCTTTATTGCTTTTGTCTAGTTTCCAATCTCATTGCTTTGTTTTGTTTTGATCTCTCAACTTTCAATCAGCTTCTAACATCCATTTAGAATTTATGAATTCCTTCTGGAATTTATTCTCAGTGTATACTGGGGATGTTACTTTTTCTTCTTTGCACTTACTGTAATCTGTCCTTCCTCTGACAATGCTACCTTCTTTGCTGCTCTCCTAAGTGATGTTTCTCTGTATTGCACTTTCCACTGCTGAACTGAGAGTGCTCCCTGTCTGTGTTCCATATTGTGTTACCCAGTCTTTGCCAGAATTTCCAGATTAAGCTCTCATATTGTTGAATTTTCACCTTTTACCCTTCTTTATTTCAGTCACCTGCCCAACCAACTTGAGACTGTCATTCTTCCTCTTCCTAACAGTCTTTTAGCTCCGGGTTGTCATTTGTATTCCTGTATTGGTTCTTGGTGGTTTCATTGTCCATGTAGTGCAGTGTTGCTCAAGTGTGTTGTCTGATCTAATGAAGTTTGTTACTAGTATGATTTGCAGTAAGGATTTTGTGCCAGAATGTAAATCACCTATGTCATTAGGTTCTCTATTTAGTTTACTGGTGTTTTTTGTAACAAGGCATTTGATGAAGGGAATGCTGATTTATAACTTGGCATAATCTCTTGTGGTGATTTGGTCTGCCATATAGACTAACCTTATAGAGCTGTGCTTCTCTAAGTGGGTGGTACTGCCCTCTGGGAATTCTGAAACAATCCTTAGGTAGTTGTGTCCTTGCAGTTGGGGTGGTGGGCATTTCCTTTTTGCTTAAAGCGTGTGGTATACATGGGGGTACTGAGTGAGGGGTGTTTTTTTCCCTTTCCTCCCTAATGGGTGAGGAGTAGGCCACAGAAAGTTTGGAAATCTGATATTAGAGAGGAAGGATATTTCTTAATATACCTGTGCTTCTTTACCTTCTCCTTCGAATGAACTCTGGTATTCTAAGATAATTTCAACCAGTTTATTCACTTAGATACTTTTCCCTTTTACTTCCAAGAATAATGCTAGTCATTCTTGATGTTGCATTGTTTTCCCCTTTTTACGGAATATTTTATGAGCTGCAGACATTTTCTCCACTTGGAAAAAAAATAAAAACTTCCTGTTACCCTCTTACCAACCAGTTTGTTTCTCTGAACGGCTGACTGACCTGCAACAACTGTTTTGGTGTATTATTTTCCTCCTTTTCTTTTGAACTGCCCAAGAACCACTATCACTGTAACTGTCCGTTGTTCATCGATTTGTTCAAGCAGGTACCAGTAACGTCTCCATTGTGAGACTTGTTACTGTTTTTGGCATATCGAATATGCCACGCATGGGAAGCATGCCAGGCTCTGCCGTACGGGCTGGATACTCTTGGTAGCTTGCCAGGCTCTCTAAGAGGGATGGAGGAATCGAACCCCAGTCACCTGCATGCAAGGCAAATGCCCCCTAGAACCACAAATGCCCCCTAGAACCACAAATGCTCTGCCCCCTAGAACCACTGTTTATAAATTTTCTAGTCATTGTCTTAACCAGTAAGTAGCTTTTGGCACAGTTGCTAAAACAGGTTTTTCACTTCACTTTTAGGATACCATATAGGTAGCAGGCTTTCTTCATATCTCACTGGCTATTCTGATTCCATCTCCTTGAATTTTTCTATCATCTCTGTGACCTTTGGAGTAGTTGAAAGTTTAGACCTGAGACCTCCCTAATTTTGCTTCAAGTTTTCCTAAATACACTCCTCTTTCCAATTATTCAGAATTAAAAAACCTTGCTGTGTTATTTTCCCATAGCCAAATACTGCCTACAAATTGTGTCTGTTCGTCCTTGAAAATAATAACCCCAAATGTAATAATTTCTCACCATAGCCATGCCATTCTGAGTCTTTTTGTCTGGATACTACTTTAAAGTCTTTGAGCTGATCTTCCTGTTCACCATTGTTCTCCTTAAACTTATTCTCAGTATAATGCCCAGCGCAATCTTATTGTCACTGTCACTTGTCCTCCTGTTGTTCATCGATTTGCTCTAGCGGGCCCAGTAACGTCTCCATTGGAGTCTTGTTGTTACTGTGTTTGGCATATTGAATACATCACGGGTAGCTTGCCAGGCTCTGCTGTGCGGGCGAGATACTCTCGGTAGCTTGCCAGGCTCTCTGAGAGGGACGGAGGAATTGAACTCAGGTCGGCCATGTTGGCTGCATGCAAGGCAAGGCAAACGCCCTACCACTGTGCTATCGCTCCAGCCCAATCTTATTGATGCAGTGGATCTTGTAACTTATTTTCCTTTTGGTGTTTACTTTTAAATTAAAAGTACATTCCCTATTTGTTTAGACCTTTCCTTTCACAACCTACTACTTTGCTCACCTATTTATCCATGCTAATTTTTTAGTTTTTCCTCCATTTGGTCAGGCTTTCTTTTATCTTAAGCACAGTTTGTACTTAAGTACATTTTTTAACCTCCTTTAGACTTTAGTCATCATTCTCTCAAATTCCAACCCTACTCCCCTAACTAAAATCCTTTCTTGCCTTAGACTTAAGGGTTAGTCTTTGTTATCACTTAACATTATACTCTCATTTTTTCCCTTTTCACGATTACTTGGAATGTATCTTCAGAGCAATGGGAATTTTTGTTTGTTTCCTTCACTGTTTATTTTCCCCATTGAGCAGAAGCATAGTACATAGTAGTTGATCACAACATAGTTTTGTTGCGTTGATGCCTTTCAGTCTTACTAGTTCATGTGGATTATTTTTAGTAAAGGCATACTGTTTTCTAGGATTAAAATGCTTAAAATACTATTTTAGACTATAGCAGAGGTGGTCTCATTTATGACTCCTGTTGTTGAGGATTTCTACATTGTGATATTTTTCTAAACTCTTTTTTTGGTGTTTGGCATGTAATTATTGTCTGAAGTAACATTTGTTTTACTTGATTGCTGTTTCCCTCCCTCATATCCTGATTTTTGTATTTTGTGTCCCTGTGTTTTTTTTTTAAATTTACCCAGAACCATATCTAGTAAATAGAGGTGTTCATTACAAATTTGTTGAGTGTGAATGTTCTACAATTGAACTGCCTTTGTTTCCCTCCATCTAAAGCTGTTCCTTATTTCTCTACTCCCTTAAGGGTTCATTCATACCTGAAAGAGGAATGCTGTGGAAAATGTCTGCTTTTTACCTCAGTCTGCTTTCTTTATTTTTGCTCTAGCTGAGAACTATTATATTTCCATGTAGACCCATAAGGTGGTTACTTTTAGTCTTGCTGGATCATTGGACATTTGGTGCATTTTCAGTGTTTTCTTCCTTCTAAAACGGGAGTAGAACTTTTGTGATGATAGAAATATTTTTCATCTGTGCCATCCAGTATGGGAAGCACCAATCACATGTGACTACCGTATTGGTAGTTTTAACAGCTACCACATTGAATAGTACAGTTCTAGAAATATGTGCCTTCTTACATTGCAGTAAACTTTATCATTGTCTAATTGCTAAAGCTAGCCACCGAGGTATTGCCATTAATTTGTCTTCCAGTTCTAGGTGATAGAAAACTCTGGAGAGAGAGCTTTGTCATTAGTTTTTTTTTTTATTTTATTTTATATCAGAGTCATTGGAATGCTCTAGTTACCAGTTTAAAGTGTCCTTGTCACAAGATTGGAAATCTTTGTAGTAAAATATGTTTTAAAAGACATACATATAATGAGACTACATTTTGGTTTAGTATATACCTGGTTGTTGGTCTTCGTAGATGGTATTTTCCTCAAGTAAATGATTTTCACATATTTGGCTTCATTTTTCACAGGATCTGTTTTTGAAGGTGCGGATGTAGGTGTATGACTTCAGTAGTTTGTTAATCTACTTCAAGGGTTCCCCAAATTATATGACCTGCCTTCTCTTTTCGGGGGAGGGGTCAAGGGGGCAGGGAGAGGCAACAAACACATGGTCTATTTTTTCTTTCTTTTTTTGAATGCCTTATTAATTTATTTTCTTAATGTCTCTTTTAAAATGTCAGTTAAAAATATTTCTATTTTTTCAAACAATATGTCCCCCTTTTGAAAGCTTATTAGAATCACGATCATCCTGTTGTTCATCGATTGCCTCAAGCAGGCACCAGTAATGTCTCCTTTTTCCTAGCCCTGAGATTTTTAAATGCTCTTTCAGGGCTAGGAGAATGAGACCTATCATTGGTATTTGGCATATTGAGTACGACAGGGGAAGTTTGCCAGACTCTGCCGTACAGGCAGGATACTTTCGGTAGCCTGCCAGGTTCTCCAAAGTAAAAACGAGACCCGGGAGCTGGGTTTTATAGTCTCTGGGTCTTGACCGTTGATGGGACCACCTGGTGCCTACAGCAGCTGGTGGGTGTAACGCCTGCCTACTGGAAGATGGGGGATCTGGGTGGAGAAGGCCCAGTCCCCATCCGAGAACGCTTGGAGATCTCAGCCCTGGGACCCGCATGCCTGGGTTCCTCTGCCGGTTTCTTCATGCATGAGGCTTGTCCAGACATGTGGAGAGTGGTCTCAGCATGGCTGTGGCTGGTTCTGGAGGTCTTCGGCTGCCGGGGCTCTGCTGGGGCTGGGAGGAAAACTCAACCTGCCCCCCTCCAAGGGGCCCTGGTGAGGACAGCCAGGCGCAGGGGCAGGAGACTCTTAGAGTTATTAGAATAAGTAAGATTATTATTATATTTGAAAGATTATAATAAGTAATTTTTATTCTAATAATCTTATTAGAATACAGTAAAAAATTACTTTACTATGATTACTGCTCAGGAGAACAGCTTTTTAGTATTTTTAGATAGTATTTCTAAAAATTGCTAACGCTTCTCGCATTATTTGTAGCATTGACTATTACATTTTCTATACCTACGATGGGTGGTAAGTTTATTTGATTTGAAAGGGTATGTGACTAGAGTTAAACAGGTTTGAATTTTACCAGAGCAGTTTATTAGCTATAGCCTTCTTAACTAATTCTAGTCAATTTTTTTTTTCATCTAATAATTTAGGAGAATGTTGTCTAAGAGATTGCTGGATAAGTTCTAAAGTCCTGTAAAGAGACCAGAGAGATAGTATAGAAGGTAAGGCACTTGCCTTGCAAATGGTCATTTTGATCATTTAATATTTTTCTGTATGTGGTGCCAGGGATTAAACAGAGGGCCTAAATGGTTGTAAAAAGTCAGTGAAGACAATAGAAGTGATTTAATCAGCAATCTTGCATTACTTTGTGATATAGTTCATTTGTAGGTCATTGCCACCTTAATAGAATAACAATTTAATGATAATGTTGTTGATTATGTTACTAAAATAGGTAATTAGTAAAGTTTAGTAATACTGCATTTTTTTGTATTTATATAAGTATAATTTCCTTGCTTTTAAAAAAAACATTTTTTCAAAGAATATTTCCCCTTTTTGAAAGCAATATTTCAGCCTTGAAGTACTAAATAGCTGAGTAGTTTCCAGGTTTCTTTTCATTTTATAGATCAGTTGACTTAAATGTTTAAAGCGGTGGGGCATTTGCATTGGCGTGCAGCCAGCCTGGCCGAGCTGGGTACGATTTCTCTGCCCCTCTTGGAGAGCCTGAAAAGCTACCGAGAGTATCTCGCCCGCACGGCAAAGCCTGGCAAGCTACCCGTGACGTATTCGATATGCCAAACACAGTAACAACAAGTCTCACGATGGAGATGTTACTGGGCCCGCTCGAGCAAATCGATGAACAACGGGAGGAAGTGTTTGTTTTTTTTATCAATTTGACTTTTTTTTTTTATGGTAGGGCTAAATGTTACATTTTCTTACTTATTAGTGATAAAGCATTGTATACATACTTGCATAGGTATGCAGCATCTTTTCAAGTGGGTACACAGTAACCTACTGACACTGCCTTCCAGTGATTTACCTTGGTTTCCTCTCAGTTCTTCCTGCTGTGCTTTTGCCTTGCCTTTCATGATTCCTTTTTTCATACAGACATTAGGATTGAATTTACACTAATGGCTTGCCATTGCGCTTTGAGTTTTATATTGCACCCTTACTGGTGCCCGCCTCCATGGATTCCTGACTTCTTGGTTGCACTGGTGACCTTTACCAAACAACTCTTCCCTTCCATTATGCTTATTATCATTATTAGTGTTGTAAACAATGAAATACCATTTTAAAAAATTCCCTTGCAGTAGAATGTAGTCAAAAATATATATAACCTTGACTCTTCCACTGTTACTGTGATACCAGGTGCTGATAGTACATAAAAACATAAAAATAGGTGCTGGGTCAGGGAGATTGCTGAAAGGACTGGGGTGCATGCTTTGCACCTAGGAGACCCCTATTCAGTTCCATGTACCTCATGGTCTCAGAGTGATCCCTGAGATGTTACTCAAAAACAAACAGAAAAGGGGTTTAGATGTTTGTTCATCAGATGAATATATTTTCCATTTAATGCATAATTTTTAAAAATTCAGCTCATGCTGATGGATATTTGGGTAATTTCTTTTTCTCTGCAGATGCTTTACCAAGTGTAGGCACCTTCATTCCTTTTGTGACTATGACTGCAAAATTCTTTTCTTTTATAAGAGTGATTTTTTAGTCAAAGAGCATTTATTCTTATATTTTTAGATAGTGCCAACTTTACCTTCAAAAAGTTTCTTCTAGCTAACTATGTCCTTGGAGGCAGTGTCTATTTATTAGTTGTTTTTAATCTTTACTTGTTTGATCTGAAAAAAAAAACAAGAGTTTAAACATGTATTTATGCTTACTTTCTAGTTTTTTCTAAAATGACGGTTTGTGATTCCCCTGCTATTTTCTTCAGTTCTTTCATGACTGTAAACCTTTCATAATAATATTCCTCATTTCTTGTACATCATTTAAAAATATTTAGTACTTTGGAATTAAGTTTTACATAGACAAATTACATCTGAAGTTTTTCTGCTTTTACACTTTCAACTATTGTTTACATTGGACTATTTTGCATGGTTTTATAAGATAAACTTATAGTGTCTGGTTTTTCATTTTTGCAGATGAATATTTGACAAATGTAGGTTTAATACTGGTACAGTAAAGTAAGGATGAAAAATACTTTAGTATCTCCTAATTCTGTTAAGCAGTTTAACTTTTTTCTAGTAATTGAAGTGTCACCCTTATTTATTAAATTATGTAAGGATGCATTATAATTATTACTCTTATTTCTATTCCACTAATATAGTTCATTTACATTTATAACCGAATGGTATCTTTGTACAATAGAAAAATTTTCTACTCAAGGATAAAACATATGAGCCAGAGAAGTAGTACAGTAGACTGGGGCATTTGCCTTGTAAATGGCAACCTGGGTACTATCCCTGATACCCCATATCGTTTCCTGAGCATAGCCAGGGTAGCCAAAAACCAATTTTTAAAGAAATCTCCACTTAATTTTGTCATATTGCTATTAGGAAAGATACCTGTGGTTATATTTTTAGTCTCTTTATTTAGTAATACTGTCACTCTCCTCCCGTTGTTCATAGATTTACTTGAGTGGGCCCAGTAACGTCTTCATTGTGACACTTGTTACGGTGTTTGGCATATCAAATATGTCACGGATAGCTTGCCAGGCTTTGCCGTGTGGGCTAGATACCCTCTGTAGCTTGCCAGGCTCTCGCAGAGGAATGGAACCTGGGTCGGCCTGGTCAGCTGTGTGCAAGGAAAAGGCCCTACCTGTTTTTATATATATTTTAGTGGTAATGATTATCTTAAAGTTTTAGAATTTTTTTCTGAAATGCTCAGATTTAGCTAATTTTTGAGACACCATGAATAATAATATTGATGGTACAATTTTATGCATACAGTGTTCCAACACTACACTCTACTGGACTATCCCCTTCTCTTCACTGTTGTCTCAATGTTGTCCCACACTCTCTTGTCAGATGCTCTCGAGCTCAGTTCTTTTTTTATTTTTACTGTAGAAAGTATATGTAATAGGGTAGCAAGCACCCTTGTACTTAACTAACCAGATCAAAAGATGGAATTTTTAAAATTTGGGTTTTTTGGGGGGATCTCTTGTAGGTTTGGGGGGACCATATGGGGTGCTGGGTTCTGGTTGACTACATGCAAGGCAAACACTATCTGCTGTACTATCTCTCTGGCCCCAACAGATGGAATTTTTTATGTAATTGATCTTTTTTTTTTTCTTTTTGGGTCACACCCAGCGATGCTCAGGGGTTACTCCTGCCTCATGCACTCAGAAATCACTCCTGGTGGTGCTCGGGGGACCATATGGGATGCTGGGAATCGAACCTGTGTTGGCCATGTTGGCTGCAAGGCAAATGCCCTACCTGCTGTGCTATCGCTCCAGCCCCAATTGATCTTTTTTTAAACCACAGAAAAGCATTAATGACTTGAAGTCATCTTTAATAGGCTTTATCATTCTATTCCTTTTGTCCTTTAGCAGCTGCTGATATGTATTTTTCATACTTTGCCTTACCTACGCAATATGAAGTGGTTTTATTTTTAACTTTGGTAGAATTTGTTCAGAAGTTATAAAAATAAAAGTGGCTTTGATGATGAAGTCCATACTATATACTTTGAAATATTTGCATTTAAAAATACTTCGTTGCTTGTACAGTGGAAACATGGTTAAGGTGACAACTGGACTAAGGAACTGGGTTTCCTCCTAGTATATTTCTCAAAGTTAGCCTGTGTACTGTTTTCTGTATCGTAGAATATTCATTCAAAATGCAAATTTGGGCCAGGGTCATGTGGCTTATAGTTAGAGCCATAAGCTTTTCATGAGTGCAGCTCTGGGTTGGATCCCTGCCATTACACTCAGAAAGGTATCTTTCTTGAATCAAAACAGCAAACAATAATCTTGCCTTATTGCCAGAAATATTTCCCCCCACTTTGCATTATACATAATTTTATTTTATAATATTGTTGACTAGTCAACTTTATATATCTCTAACCTAGTCAACTTTAGGTGTCAAGTGAGGTTTTAGGTGTCAAGTGAACTTTTTTTCCCCTTGTAACCTTAGGAATCAGCAGGGTGATTTTTTTTGTTTTTTGAGGGTTTTTTTTTATTTTTTTCATAAAACAGGACTTTAGAATTTTTTCTCAGCTTAAACATATTTACATTTCTTTCTATATAGATAGAAATCAAAACACACACCTAAGTATTATCAGCTATGTTGTTGATATTGAGCTGGAGCGATAGCACAGCTGGTAGGATATTTGTCTTGCATGCAGCTGACCCAGGTTCAATTCCTCCGTCCTTCTCGGAGAGCCCGACAAGCTACCAAGAATATTCTGCCTGCAAGACAGAGCCTGGCAAGCTCCCTGTGGCGTATTTGATATGCCAAAACAGTAACAACAAGTCTGACAATGGAGTCGTTATTGGTACCTTGAGCAAATCGATGAACAACGGCAGGGCAGTGTTACAGTGCTATAGTTCTTGATACTGGCAAACCTTATATGCTTATTTGTAGTGCCAGGTAAAATTTAGGACTATCTGGAGGTTATGAGCCCTTACATTGTAATCATTTGCAGATAACTCCTTGCATGATCCAGTATTTTTCTGATATTACACAGTAAAACCATAAAGTAGACAAAATTAAATGCTTAAGATAATTTAATGGGATTAACATTTTTATATTGCCCAAAACATAATGTAGTTAGAAATGCCAAAAATTGTGATGAAAGTTTACTTTAAGAAGTGCTTTTAATTTGTGCTGCAAATTTTATTTAAAAACTAATTTTGTTTCTTATTTAAAAGAACTTTAAATGTTTTTTCTGATCCTGGTATCTGTTAATTTTTTTTGTTTTGTTTTTGAACTATATCTAGCGATGCTGAGGGCTGCTCCTAGATCTGTTCTTGGAGGCCACTCCTGGTAGTGCTCGGGGACCTTGTGGTGCTGGGGATTGAACCTGGGTCTCTTGCATGCAAAGAATATTGCTCTAGCCTATTGAAAGATTTCTCTGGCCTTTTTTTTTTTTTTTTTGGTCCTATTTAGAAATTTTTCTCTGGCCTTTAAATGACATTGGTTGACCAGTATAATAAAAATTTGGTGTTCTAAAAAAATGACATGGAATCTCTACCGTCCAAACATGATCTATGAGTTTTTCAGTGGAACTTGAAAAGGGGGAAAGCACCTTTTTGCACCAAGGGGATTCTCCCCACCCCATTGGCACTTATTAGTAGAATGCTTTAAGCTTTTTGTCTTTGTAATTTAGTTTCTTTAGCACCTTAATTATCTATAACTTACACTAGATATTGTTTAAAGGGAGTTTTCCTTAGAAGTTTACCCTTGATGAAGCTTTGGTGATTTGGTCTGGTTTGTGAGGTCTTTTTTAAACTATATAAAATATATGGTAACCTTTTTGTGCAATTTTTGCATTCTGTGGTGTTTATTTAAAGCCATTCAAGTAATGTATGTATATTAAAATTAAATTAAATTTAAATTCTAATGACTTGATTCACTCTTTTAGGATATTTGAAGCTTACCATACAACTGTTCTGAAAATTCTGCGTGGACAATGACTACTCAAGGTTTGTTTCGTTAAGTCTTTTGTTACCAAATAGGGACTCTGCTTAATTGCCGTTAACCCAGTCTGGCTCAGATCCTCTGCTGTCCTGTCTCCCTGCTTGTCAGGCTACTTTTTGCTTCATTTTCTGCTCACTTTGCCTAATGATTTGGTAAAATAACAATCCACCTAGTCTAGGAGACTGCTTCGAAAACCTGAATGTAGTACAATTCTTCCACTGAGTCAGTGGGTAACTTGGGCAGTCCCCTAAGAGTACAGCTATTTCATGACAAAGCTCATCCTAATTATTATTCTGTTATTCTTGGCTCTCTTCCAGATTTGACTTCTAAAAATATCTCAGTGGGTCATAATCAAAGATTTTTTTTAAATTAAGGTACTGTTTCCATGGTAGTAATGTAAGTGAGGTTTGATTTTTATAGCTGATTTGTTGGAGCTTGACATGGCCATGGAGCCGGACAGAAAAGCAGCAGTGAGTCACTGGCAGCAGCAGTCTTACTTGGACTCTGGAATCCATTCTGGTGCCACCACCACAGCGCCTTCTCTCAGTGGGAAAGGCAATCCTGAAGAGGAAGATGTGGATACCACCCAGGTGCTGTACGAGTGGGAACAGGGGTTTTCTCAGTCCTTCACTCAAGAACAAGTAGCTGGTAAGTGAGACTACAGTTTGAAGAATTAAGTATTCTTAGAATAGAATAATTTTTGCATGATAGCTGATATAAAATGGTGTGGTTAGTGATGGCACTATAACCTTTTTGATTAACAATAGTATTGAGGTTAATGCTGAACTAAGGATGGTGAATGATGAATCTTCTCCCCCCCCCCAGATATTGATGGACAATATGCAATGACTCGCGCTCAGAGGGTCCGAGCTGCCATGTTCCCTGAGACACTAGATGAGGGCATGCAGATCCCCTCTACACAGTTTGATGCTGCTCATCCTACTAATGTCCAGCGATTGGCTGAACCATCACAGATGCTCAAACATGCTGTTGTAAATTTGATTAATTACCAAGATGATGCAGAACTTGCCACACGAGCAATCCCTGAACTGACGAAACTGCTAAACGATGAGGACCAGGTAAGCAGTGGCATAGCTAGCTTTTAAATTTACTATGTAAGGTAACTCTCAGGGAAATTTTGAGATTAAATGTCCGCCTAGCATCCGTAGTTGAAAACTAATGATGTCTCTTAACTCTTGTACATTACAGGTGGTGGTTAATAAGGCTGCAGTTATGGTCCATCAGCTTTCTAAAAAGGAGGCTTCCAGACACGCCATCATGCGTTCTCCTCAGATGGTGTCTGCTATTGTACGCACCATGCAGAATACAAATGATGTGGAAACAGCTCGCTGCACTGCTGGGACCTTGCACAACCTCTCTCATCATCGTGAGGGCTTGTTGGCCATCTTTAAGTCTGGAGGTATTCCTGCTCTTGTGAAGATGCTTGGGTAAGGAAACATAGTCACAATGCTCAAAGCAAAGAAGTAGAGTACAATTTCAACATTTCTGATTAGCTTTTTTTCTTCTTCTTAGTTCACCAGTGGATTCAGTATTATTTTATGCCATTACAACTCTGCACAACCTCTTATTACACCAAGAAGGGGCTAAAATGGCAGTACGCTTAGCTGGTGGACTGCAGAAAATGGTTGCCTTGCTCAACAAAACAAATGTTAAGTTCCTGGCTATTACAACAGACTGCCTTCAGATTTTAGCTTATGGCAATCAAGAAAGCAAGGTAAAAAGCATTCATTTTTTGAAGGTGGTGGTCATGAAATGTTAGTAATCTCCACTCTCATATCTATCCTAGGAAAAAAATGGACATCTTTATTTGCATGTAAATCTTTTCTCATTGAATCATTTATTTTGAAGGTTTGTGGGGAGACCTTTTGGAGGAAGTAAAAGTTGAGTTCATATCAAGGTTGAGAAGGGATTGACGAGAAAGTGGTCAGAGAGGAAATGGCGTCTTTGAAAGTTCTGCTGCAGGAGGAGAAGAATATAGTAAATGTTGGAAATTTAAATAGTTTAAAAAATGTGGGAGGGAGGAAGTTTTGACGTGAGGCTTTAAGTTGAGAGATTGAGACAGGCAGGGCAGGTCCTTGAAGGACTTTGGGTAGAACATGTAAAACATGTTAAAAGAATAGTCAAAGGCTGGTATGAGTGATAGTTTAGAAAATCTGGATGGGTTGGGAGGTGATTGTGCTGAGGAATAAGTAAGGGCAAAAGAGATTATTTCATGCTATTTTTTGGGGGGGGGCTGGGGTTCACCTGATTGTGCTCAGGGGCTATTCTTGATTCTGCTCTGGGGACCATGTGGTGACATACTGAATTTGGTCTCCTGCATGCAAAGCATGTACTCCAGATGATTGAGATATCTAAGCCTAAGAAAAGCATAGGAGCCAAACCATTAGGAACTTGAAGTGCTCATTCTGATTCAGAGTTTTCAACACATCAGTTTTCGTAGGGCGTTCGCCTTACAAGCGGCCAACATGGCCGACCCGAGTTCGATTCCTCCGCCCCTCTCGGAGAGCCCGGCAAGCTACCGAGAGTATTCGATATGCCAGACACAGTAACAACAAAGTCTCCAATGGAGACGTTACTGGGCCCGCTCGAGCAAATCGACGATCAACGGGAGGGCCTTTACCATATCTGAGTGTCACTGTTGTTTACCAAATAGCTCATTGTTTTTCTTTTCCTGTTGTCAGATGAGAAGGAAAATTGAGACCAGAGTTGTGATACAAATTGAGACCAGAGTTGTGATATATTCTTGGGATAACTTGTATGCCTGAAGTTGAGTAGAATATTACAGAAAGATATTAAAAGCCCCACTCCCCCCTCTACCCCGAAAAAAAAGGGCTCCCATATTTGGGGGCTTGGAGGAAGGAGGATCCTGTGGGTAGAGGTGGAGAAATACATTTAAGTCAATAGCAAGCTGGCTGAAATTTGTAAAGTTGTTAATACAGCTTTTCTTAGTTATTAGGTCAAGATTCCAAGACTAACTATATATATTTTCATCGTTCTAGCTCATCATTCTCGCCAGTGGTGGACCTCAAGCTTTAGTAAATATAATGAGGACCTACACTTATGAGAAACTACTGTGGACCACAAGCAGAGTACTGAAGGTGCTGTCGGTCTGCTCTAGTAATAAGCCCGCTATTGTAGAGGCTGGTAAGTTTGTGTTTATCCTGTTTCCTTGTGTGCAGCATCTACAGATTTAATTAGATTGCCTTTCTTAGGAAAAGGATTTCATCTCACAGGATGAAAGTAGATCATCTTAATTAGTTTTAAACAAAATCCCTTTGAAGCAAAGCATATGTTTTGATTTTGGACAAGCCCAAGATTTACTGTGCAAACACACTTCTGAGATATATATATGAAATTACATTACAACCAGATCTAAGTACAGTATAGCTAGCAAGGGAGTTTCTGGTTTTTTAGTGAATGCTCAGAATTAGTGTTTTGTCCTGATACTTTCTATTCTTGAGCTGGGGCGATAGCACAGCGGGTAGGATGTTTGCCTTGCACGTAGCCGAACCAGTCGACCCGAGTTAATTCCTCCGCCCCTCTCAGAGAGCCCAGCAAGCTACCGAGAGTATCTCCCCCCCATGGCAAAATCTGGCAAGCTACCCATGAGGTGTTCGATATGGCAAAAACAGTAACAACAAGTCTCACAATGGAGACGTTACTGGGCCCACTTGAGCAAATCGATGAACAACGAGAGGACAGAAACAGTGACTTTCTATTCTTAGTGAATATATGGTATTATTTTATGTTCCATTTAAATATTTTCAGTGAAACAACCTCTGTGTGTCAGCTTGTCATGTGCTTGTTAGTGGCAGAGAAAGGAATGAAATGCTTATGCCAGGATCCTTTGTGCTATGATAATTACTCTTTCCCCAGTATCATTTTCCTTTATACCCACCTAATAATACCTGGACTTTCAAACCAAGCTTTAAAATTAGAAGAGGCAAAATATTAAGACATTTAATAGAAGAAAACATTCTTCTATTAAATAGAAGTAAGTAAGATGTAATTTTTTCTGCTCATTGAGAATAATTTTACCCAAGAATCTATGGAAGAGAGGACAGTTATATTACCCAGTATAGTTTCTGGCGAGAGAACAATGAGCACATAAACAAGAGATTATATAGAAAGAGGATGTAAATTCTGCTAGTTACTCCATTAAAAACCTGGGATGTTTTTGAAAAATACAGAATTTTAAACTTGTTTATTAGAATCAGGGAGTGTTAAAATTTGAGTTAGTTAGGTAGCTGGATAACCTGAGGATAATTTTAGGAACCCGATAACCAGAATATTAGGTGGCTAAGAATCTATGATACTGGAGTGCAGGGGAAGATGGGACTAGAAATTTGAAAATCTTTTTTTCCTCATCTATAGAGGTGAAGATTGCTGGAAGAGAGTTGGGAGATACCTTTCAAGTCCTCCGCCTAGAATTTTTACCCAAACATACTGAATTAGATTGTATGTTTTTAAAGTTAATTAAAACAGCTAATTAGTAAAGTAAAAAGAGAAAGAGTGAAAGTTGCTCTGTTTAGACAAGTTATGCGTTTCGTGTAGGTCACTGACTTATTAGCTAGAGTTGCTATGTTTGTAGAAGAAACCAGATAGAGATGTTTGTTGTCTTTTGGAAAGGTAGCCTTAAGATTGTAGTCTACTTAGGAAGGAGGTAGACTTAGGAAGAAAAAGTTCAGAGGCAGGAGCAACAATGCAGCAGGTAGGGCTCTTGCCTTGCCATGTAGCCAACATGGGGTTGATCCCTGGCACCCCATGTGGTTCCCTGAGCCTGCCTGTAGTGATTTCTGAGAACAGCTGGGTATGTCCCTCCCCCCCCCCCCCAAAAAAAAAGAACAGAGTATCATGAGTCTCATAGTGAAAAGACCTAACCAAATAGGAGAAAATAAAATAGATTAAGAATGAATGGGAAATAAGACAAAATGTCTCACTGCATTCAGAAGTGATTTCAGTTTTGAGAGATTAGTGTTGTTAAGCCAGTAAGCAGAGAATTGAGCTTCCAGTTGAGACTCCTGGCAGTATAGGTGTCTCTTACTAGGATTCTAAATGATAAATGAAAGAGTGAAATCTTAGGAGCAGATGGGAATCAGTTTTTAGTACTGCATCTGTGCTGCCATTTTGAATTATTCTTAGCACAGGAACTCTCATAGTTCTAGGTTTTTGCTCAGAAGTCACCTTCACACTGAAGTGACATAATTACTTAAAATCATAGCTTTCGTCCCTTTTTTTCCCCTAGCAGTCAACTATATACTTTTAGTTATGCATTTATTTTCTCTCTTCTACTAGAAAGAAGCTCAATCCAGCCGTAATTCAAAATGGACTGTTGCTGAATATTTTTGGAATGCATGAATGAATTAGAGGGAAGAGTGAAAATAATGAGTGCTTTTTCCACATAGGAAAGGAACAGTTAGATATTTGATAAGCTTTTTTACTGGTGAGGAGAACTGGAGAAAAGAGGGAATCTGATTACTAACACCCTAGAAAATAAAAGAAAGAAGGCCGGAAAGTATTTAGACAGAGGGATTTACTTTGGAAGTAGAGACCCTTAGACACTTGGGAAAACAATTCTGATAGAAATTACCAGCTAATGAGCTAATAAGGGCCGTTGCCCTGGATCCTTTTTCAATCTTGTAGGTGGAATGCAAGCTTTAGGACTTCACCTGACGGATCCAAGTCAACGTCTTGTTCAAAACTGTCTTTGGACTCTTAGGAATCTTTCAGATGCAGCAACTAAACAGGTAAAAATTTGAGTAAGGTCAGTGTCTTAGTGGTAGTAAAGATGAGTATATACTAAGCATCTGTTTCTGTTCCAATAGGAAGGAATGGAAGGTCTTCTTGGGACCCTTGTTCAACTTCTGGGCTCAGATGATATAAATGTGGTGACCTGTGCAGCTGGAATTCTTTCTAATCTCACTTGCAACAATTACAAGAATAAGATGATGGTGTGCCAAGTGGGTGGTATAGAGGCTCTTGTGCGTACTGTCCTTCGTGCGGGTGATAGAGAGGACATCACTGAACCTGCCATATGTGCTCTTCGTCATTTGACCAGCCGACACCAGGAAGCAGAGATGGCTCAAAATGCTGTTCGTCTTCACTATGGACTACCAGTTGTGGTTAAGCTTCTACATCCGCCATCCCATTGGCCTCTGATCAAGGTAACTTGTGAAAGTTGTAGACGGTTCCAAAGTTGAAAATGAACCACTTTTAACTATTGGAACGTTGTGTAGACACAAGAAATTGATGAGAAGGAATTAATTTGTGTAGTTAGTGTAATTCTAAAGTGATTCCAAGTAGATTTAGTATGGTGAAAGTTTTAGGCTAAGCAAATGACGCTGTTGCATATGCCTGTTCTTTATTCTTATTTTATCTCTTTAGGCTACTGTTGGATTGATTCGGAATCTTGCCCTTTGTCCAGCAAATCATGCACCTTTGCGTGAGCAGGGAGCCATTCCACGACTAGTTCAGTTGCTGGTTCGTGCACATCAGGATACCCAGCGCCGCACATCCATGGGTGGAACCCAGCAGCAGTTTGTGGTACGTAAACCTTGACAGTGACGAAATGTAGTGCATAAATCCATAAGACTCTGAACTGTTTTGGTTATTGATTTCTTTGCTCCTGCTTTCTAATTGTTAGTGACTCAAAAACCTGCAGTTTTTGTGGCTGCAAAGTAGATAAATAAGCATTGATTTGGTCTTTACTGACATGTTCTTTGCATTATCACTGAAATGTATTTGGTTGTAAGTGAAAGATGTGGGTTAGGCACTTCATAAGGTGCTCGAATTTAATCCATATAAAGGTGGCCATAATATTTAAACCCAAAGCTTCCCATTCTCCACTGCAACATGGGTTTTGCCTATAATTATTTAATGTACCTTTTTAAAATTCTATTTTACAGATTCTCTTTTTCTGCATATATATTTGAAGGAAAAAAATTGTATATACACACATATATACACATACACATTATATATATCATAATTATAAAAGTTTAATAATAATTGGAGGAGGCAAGGAGAAGATGAATTTTTTCCCTAGCAACTCTGTAGAATTTTAGCTGTGTGTATGTATTTAGTTTGTGTGTGTTTGTGTACATATATGAACTTATGTTTTCTTTAAATATTGGAGCCCACGCCACACTCAGTGGTCAGGAATCACTCTTGGCAGGCTCAGAGGGTGAAGGGAATTGAACCCAGGGCAGTTCTGTGCAAGGCAAGTGCCCTACCAGCTGTACCTTAAGTCCTAAAAAAATTTATTTGAAATATATAAAAAAACACTATTTCCTCAGAATTTAAAATTCAGATGACGGGCTGGAGAAATAGCACAGCAGGTAGGGCGTTTGCCTTGCATGTGGCCGACCTGGGTTCAATTCCCAGTGTCTCATGTGGTCCCCTGAGCACTGCCAGGAGTGATTCCTGAGTGCAGAGCCAGAAGTAACCCCTGGGCATCGCTAGGTATGACCCAAAAAGCAAAAAAAAAAAAAATTTTTTTTTTTTTTAAATTCAGATGTCGGAGAAGTGGGTAATATTAGAAAACAAAGATTACATATTCCTCGAACAGATTTTAGTAATCTCTTTCTGCTAATTGTTCTTTATTTTCTAATTGCGTGTATGCTTGTAAAGTAGCTTCGGCTTTCTTAATTCATAACTTTTTATTAAACTGACCATTTTCTATTAGGTGGCTTAATAAAATAGAAAAGGTACCTTATATTTTAAGCCTCTTTAGGAAGAAAGGAATTTCCTTGTCTCCTTATAAAAATTAAGTTCTTTATAAAAGTAGCAGAATCAGCATCTTTTCAGAAACAAATTTTTTTTCAATGTAGTTGAAAGATTACTGTAATTTTCTTTTTCCTCGAAGGCTATCATAATCCTAACAGTTTGATAATTGGAGGAGGCGAAGAATAGATGATTTTTTTTCTGGCAGCTCAGTCGAATTGTAGCTGTCAGTGATAAAATTTTGCTAAAATAGTTTCTACCTAAATACACTTAGATGTACAAAAAGGGAGGGAACTTGTGAAAGAAAAATTGAATTTTGAGATTACGTTTCCATCTTTATTTGCCATTTTATTTATCCAAAGTAAATTGATATCCTTACTATAAGAAAGTTCTGGGGCTGTACAGATAGTACAGTGGGTAAGGCTTGCATACAGCCAACTTGTGGATCAACCCCCAACACATCCTTCTCTGGGCTGGCCAGCAGTGATCACTGAGCGCAAATCCAGAAGTAAGTCCTGAACACAGCTGGATGTAGCTCCCCACCACCACCACCACCTGTTTTCCTTCGAATCTACAAGTCTGGACAAACTGTACTTGGCTGTGCTCAGCACTGTATATTGTGGGTGGGAGTTGATACTTGTGATTAATGCTGTCGTGTGGCACCCTTTCTCAGTAATTTCAAATTCATGGAAACCTTCATTTGAACAAATTCCATAATTTGTTTACATAATGTTAATAAATGCAGTTGAATCATTGTTACTCAGAACAAAACAAAACCTTCCAAGTTCTCTGAAGAGAGGAATATTCCAATACTATTTGTTTAAAGTTACATGTTTTCTTTTGATAGGAGGGAGTCCGCATGGAAGAAATAGTTGAAGGTTGCACTGGAGCCCTTCACATCCTAGCTCGGGATGTTCACAACCGAATTGTAATCAGAGGACTAAATACCATTCCATTGTTTGTGCAGGTATGTTGGTTTCAATGGAAGTTTTCTAGATCCTAGCTGTTTAAAACTGGAGGGCCCAGTGTACATATTTTGACATTAAAGTTTTGTTCTACCATTTTATATTAACATTTGTAAAATGACAACATCTATCCCCTAATTGTATATTTTTGTAGTGAATTTTATTTGGTGTAGTGACTATACATTGAATATATTTAATCTTATGAAAATTACATAACTCCAGTGTTTTGTATGCAGTAGAAGAGATAATAGGATTTCAAGCCCCAAGTAGGGAGACTTATACTTCATTCTTGAGGTAGTAGAGTCATTGTGGGCTACAGAGCACAGTCCTTCAAGTTCTGAATTTATTGAATCTTAGATCAACTGGAATTCTCTGAAGGAAAGGACTTAGAGCAAAAAATACTCTAGAAAAAGCAAGGCTCCAGAGCAAATGCTTTAATACAAGTGTGAATGCCACTTACTGTGTGAATTGGACTTGTGAACTGCACAGTGGGGTACTTAGGTTTTAACTTTCAAATTAATTAGGATTTTTTGTTGTTTTGTTTTCTTTTCCTCCTAAGCTCCTTTATTCTCCCATTGAAAATATCCAAAGAGTAGCTGCAGGGGTCCTCTGTGAACTTGCTCAGGACAAGGAGGCTGCAGAAGCTATTGAAGCTGAGGGAGCCACAGCACCTCTAACAGAATTACTTCACTCAAGGAATGAAGGTGTCGGTAAGTAGAGCCAAAGCCTTTAGCTGGTAAGTACAGTGAAGCCTCAGCCTTTATACATAAGAGCCTTTTCCTGTTTTCTTGTCCAGCAACATATGCAGCTGCTGTTCTGTTCCGAATGTCTGAAGACAAACCACAGGATTACAAGAAAAGACTTTCAGTTGAGCTGACTAGTTCTCTCTTCAGAACAGAGCCAATGGCTTGGAATGAGGTAAGCAGTATGAATGCATTTATTTGGTGATGGGCAGGTAAAGGCCACTGTCCTGTCACTGTCACTGTCCTCCCGTTGTTCATCGATTTGCTCGAGCGGACCCAATAACGTCTCCATTGTGAGACTTCTTGTTACTGTGTTTGGCAGATTGAATACTCTCCAGTAGCTTGCCAGGCTCTCCAAGAGGGGTGGGGAAATCGAACCCGGCTTGGCCGGGCTGGCTGCGCGCATGGCAAACACCCTACTGCTATGTTATAATTTCTCAAATGCTACTTCATATTCATGGCCTTGATCATGTTCTCAGCTTGAGTAGTTGTTTTTTATCATGTCTTAATACTTACGGAGAGAAAAGAACTATGGTTTTGAAAAACCTGTTTGGAACAAGTTATTATATTTAACATTTGAATTTACAAGGTAGATAAGTGAGAAACTTAACAGACTTTTTTAAAAGGAAGAGATACTTGGAGAATTGGAGAGTAATTTGCAATATTTAATTTTTTTTAATGGTTCTGTGATTGAATTAAGGTCCTCCACATAAGAAGCATGAACTCTAGTGGCATGCTCCTGGCTCTAAAAATGGTCTGTTTTTTAACTTCCATTCCACTGTGGATTTTTCTTTCATATACCATTGTGCATTAGAACTACTCTAACAGTGTCTTGTAGTTTTTGTTTTATAGTCTGAAAAAGTAGACTGAAAAAGTAGTTTTATATATTGTTGTTGGGTTAAATGTTAAGGTATTCAATTAATAGGCAGTCTTGTCCTTAAGCTTCTTAAGCTAAAACTCTTTCTTAATTCTGTTTATCAGCAGTTACTGTCAGGAGGGAAACTTTGCCTATTTTATTTACTGTAGTATCTCTAGCATCAGTGCTAGTCATATGTGTTAGTTGAAGAGTACATCATTTAATAGTTACCATGTCTGCTGAGAAAACAAATTTCTCTAGGGTTAAACTTGGTATAGAGTTTGAAGTAATTCTGTAATATTTAGTTTCTTTGTATTTTGAAATCAAATTTTTATTTTGTGCCCTTGCCTTGTATCCTTATCTAGACTGCTGATCTAGGACTAGATATCGGTGCCCAGGGAGAACCTCTAGGATATCGCCAGGATGGTATGTATGGCTCACTTTTTTTTATTAACTGTAGATTAAAGTGCCAACTCTTGATCAAGACTTGGCTTGCTTGCTCATCTGGGAAACTACTGTTGGCAGGAAAGTGGTGACAGCAATTAAAGGCAGTTTTCAGATTCCGGCGTCAGCAACAGTATCTTTTAATGGAGCATGGAGATAACACCAGCACAGGCTGTTACTTACTACTCCAGACTTTTGTAGTTTAGAAAGTTCTACATTGTTTGACTTAATTTTTTTGTCAGAGAATTCAAAAACATATTTGCAACCCACTAGGAAATGAGAGCCTGTCCCCAAGCTTGTTTGTTGTTCACCTAGTTGCAGGTCTGGCTGAAAAACCAATTCAGATCTTAGTGATAAAGCATGGGGTGGACTATAGCTGTATCAATAGTTATTTTATAGTTTTCACATTTCATAAGCCAGTAAAACTCTTAAGCTTCTTACAAGATAGAGCAGTGTTTCCCAGGGAAGCAGTAGAATGATCCAGGATAGCACTGATATATGCTGGGGCTTTTTTTTTTTTTTTCCCTCTCTGAAAAGGAAGCAGTAAGCCAAATCAGTTTGGGACTCCCTGAGTTAAATATTGACCTTTAAAAAATATAAAGATTACATCCTGTGACTTTCTAAATGTCATAAGTGATTGTATATTGCACCTTATTAGTACCTGCTGGTTTGCCTCTGGTAAAAACAGACTTTGTAGAGTAATACCCTGGACCTGGGCAATTAGGCTGAAGCAAGCAGTACTTTCTGACAAACTTAACCGTCATAAGGTGTCAACCTCATATATCCTTTCTTGTCCATTTTGTTGCCATCCCTAACTCTTCTAGATCCCAGCTATCGTTCTTTTCACTCTGGTGGATATGGCCAGGATGCCTTGGGTATGGACCCCATGATGGAGCATGAGATGGGTGGCCATCACCCTGGTGCTGACTATCCAGTTGATGGGCTGCCAGATCTAGGCCATGCCCAGGACCTCATGGATGGGCTGCCACCAGGTGACAGCAATCAGCTGGCCTGGTTTGATACTGACCTGTAAATCATCCTTTAGGTAAGAAGTTTAAAAGCCAGTTTAAAAGTAAAAGTACTTTTACTCTGCCTACAGAACTTCAGAAAGACTTGGTTGGGTGGGAGTGGTTTAGGCCTGTTTGTAAATCTGCCAGTTTAAAAGAAGTTTAAAAGTAAAAATACTTTTACTCTGCCTACAGAACTTCAGAAAGACTTGGTAGGGTGGGAGTGATTTAGGCCCGTTTGTAAATCTGCCACAAAAACAGATACATACTTTGAAAGGAGATGTCTTGGAACATTTGAATGTTCTCAGATCTGGTTGTTATACGTGGTCATGTGTGGAAGTTATTGACTTAAATGTTGTTTTTTGTTTTTTTGTTTTTGTTTTTTGCCACAGCTTTTGCAGCTTAAAACTCAGTTGAGTAACATTTGCTGTTTTAAACATTAATAGCAGCCTTTCTCTCTTTATACAGCTGTATTGTCTGAACTTGCATTGTGATTGGCCTGTAGAATTGCTGAGAGGGCTCGAGGGGTGGGCTGGTATCTCAGAAAGTGCCTGACACACTAACCAAGCTGAGTTTCCTATGGGAACAATTGAAGTAAACTTTTTGTTCTGGTCCTTTTTGGTCGAGGAGTAACAATACAAATGGATTTTGGGAGTGACTCAAGAAGTGAAGAATGCACAAGAATGGATCACAGGATGGAATTTATCAAACTCTAGCCTTGCTTGTTAAATTTTTTTTTAAATATCTGTAATGGTACTGACTTTGCTTGCTTTGAAGTAGCTGTTTAATTTTTTTCCAGTAACTGTTAGTTTTTTAAGTCTCTTGTAGTATTAAGTTATAGTGAAAACTGCTACAGCAATTTCTAATTTTTAAGAATTGAGTAATGGTGTAGAACACTAATTCATAATCACTCTAATTGTAATCTGAATAAAGTGTAACATGTGTAGCCTTTTGTATAAAATAGACAAATAGAAATGGTCCAATTAGTTTCCTTTTTAATATGCTTAAAATAAGCAGGTGGATCTATTTCATGTTTTTGATCAAAAACTTTATTTGGGATATGTATGGGTAGGGTAAATCAGTAAGAGGTGTTATTTGGAACCTTGTTTTGAACAGTTTACCAGTTGCCTTTTATCCCAAAGTTGTTGTAACCTGCTGTGATACAATGCTTCGAGAGAAAATGCGGTTATAAAAATGGTTCAGAATTAAACTTTTAATTCATTCGATTGTGTCATTCTCTTTTTTCCTTGTCATTAAATGGCTTGTGAGCATAAATTTATGAAACTGAGTCCCTATTCTGGGGGAAAGGATGGTGAAATTCTAATGATTTCGCCTCCATAAAAGGTTGTTTTCCCCACTTCTAGATCAAAAAGTGTTTTAGACTTGAATATGATTTTGAGCTGTATAAAAGGTGAGTTCCCAACACTTAGTGTTTATGGCCAAGACTGAACTCTTTCTGACACCACGACCAGGTTTTGAGGCTACGGAGAACAAAAGTTGAAATCCATTTAGGGATCCCTCACCCAAAACATCAGGTGGTTTTATTCCATCAAGGTAATAACGAAGAATTAAATACCTGGATTTGAGCCTTCAAGCATCTTCACGTTAGTGTGACTCATTTGAAGAGGGGAATTCCTTCAATTTCACTTTGAACTGATAATTAAGATATTTAAGCATAGATGTTTATCTGAGTAGACTAGCTTTCCTCCGTGCTGTCAGATGAATCCTGCCATCTTGGTGGTAGGTCTGACAAACTCAAGATTCTTGCGGGCAGAATCAGTAGACTTGTTAGGACGCGTTATTTTGGTCTTTCAAAAGAGTAGACATGTTTTGGGCACAATGTTTCTAACTTACATACTTACAAACATGCCCTTTTCTTAAAAATCAGCTTCATTTGGAGAGAGCTCTGAAAGCCTCAAATTCTTCACTATATAAAGTGTAATTGGGATTGGAGAGGAAGCAGGGGCTTACCTCTGAGGTGGTAAAGTGCTTGCAAATAAGTGTATTCCAAGAAGCTTAGAGCTTTGCCTAAAATTATTATTTAAGTTCTGCTTAAATGTACGAGTATGAAACCTAATACAGCAAGATAATTCTTCAATGTGCTTATAAAAGGCCAAGAGAGACTTGCTCAGTGAGCTGCCAAGTCCAAACTAAAGCTAGTTAACACTGCTATTGACACTGGGATCAAATATGGATTATAAACAGAATAAGATAAAGACAGGCACTTTTGAAGTAGCATTGGAATAAAAATGTCGGGCATTTGGATAATCATCTAGGACAAAAAATGCAGGGGGGGGAGAATATCCATGTCCAACAAAAAATGAGAAATTTAAGCCATCTGTAATTGAATTCATATACGAGAAGGGTCATTTAGCAGTAGACAACCATAGTTTCACAAACAGTGGGTATCTCTAGTGACAAGTACATGAAATCGGATTTTGTAGAGTTGCATTTCAAAAGGGGCAGGGTGACAAACTCTTATTTCCATGAATAGTGAAACTAAAACGTAAAGATTGATTAGAGTTCTATAGAAATCAAAGTAATGGTTACCTGAGGAGGCAGGTGCAAAGGACATTTGATCCCCTTGCAGTGATCAACCCTTAAGCTAAAGAATGAAGTTTTTCAATGTTGGAGCAGCTGTCTCAGACAAGACTTTGATGATGCAAATCTGACTTGGAAAGATCTTGAGATAATTCTGCCCTTTAATTCTTGTTTTGATTTAAAAAAATTTGCTTTTGGATTTATTGGAAACAGCCAAGAAAAATAGATTAGTTGAGTCCAGTAGCAGGACCTAACTGCTTTGCCTTGATTGAAAACCCACCAAATGTAATTACAGGGTGGAGGGGATACGATGAGACTAAAAAAGTTAGTGCTTCTCAGAGTCCTTTGTAGTGTAAAATCAGACCCCTGTCTTTTGAGTAGAGGACTTGGGGGCCTCCTCAACTTTGGCACCTGGTAAGCTTTGGCTAGTCCTGCGACTGCCTTACTCTAGACAACTTTCTCTTTAAAGGTATTTGTTGCTTTTTATTTTCTTCCCCAGTTCCTGTCTGGGCCTTCTTCCTCATCCCCTGCATATGTCATACTTATTTCTACATATATTCATGTGCCAGGAGAGGGCGGAGTAAAAGGTATCCTGCTATCTTGGATAGAGGCAGGAAAGGCCGAGTTCCTCTCTTCTCCTCTCACCTTGGATAGAACTTTAGCCACCACCCCTATTTCTGAAAAATTATAAATTAATGTCTGACCTAGCTCACAGAATTGACCTAAAAACGTAAGGTAGATGGGAGAATGTCAATAACTTAATAAAACTTGAAAAGCTAAAAAAGTGAAATAACCATAAAATAGCATATAAATGTTGAAGTAGTCATACTTACCACCTCAGTTACCCTAACCTAGGGGTATAGGTATTTGAATAGATCTACAGATCATTTACTGACAATCAAATGCATTTGGGGTGGGAGTGGAGGCCACACCAGGTGGTCCTCACTTACTGAATCTTTGCCCAGGAATTATCCTGACAATGAGATCAAACCACGGTCTGCTATGTGCAAGGCAAGTGCCTTACCCTACAGTTTGTAACCTCCCCACGCCAAAAAAAAAAAAATAGTAATTCTTAAAATCTTTTTAATGGTATGCAATCCCAGGACCAAAGAGATGGTTCCCAAAGCACTGCCAGGTGTTGCTCTTAGTCTACCCCCACCCCATCCCCAAGAGTTATGCAACCCCATATTTTGGTCCTAGATAACTTCCCGCTTCCTTTCAGGATGTCTTTCCACAAGGCTAGCTCTGTAAGCTAACCTGGTTTTCTCTGCAGCCTAATGCCCTTGCTATCTCCTTTGTTGCATCCCTAGAAAGTCTCAGACAACGGGTCGTACCAGAAAGCTTATAGTTTAAGCTTGAAGGTAGGAGGAAAGGGAGGGCCTCTAGGTACCTAAATTTCTACTCTTTAACACGGTTAAAGTAGATCTTTGATGGCGGTGGGGAGTAAGGCAGCTCCTAGAATTGGAGCCAGCTTGGGAGGCCCATGAGGGTGTGGTTCTCTGCATTGGATGAGTAGGGAAGGATTTCCCAGCCTCAGTCTCCTACGCAGGCAGACAGCTTCTTCACAACCTCTGTTGCCGAGCTCAGTGGCACTGAGGTAGTTGCTTTCCATTTATATAAAGCAGTTGTGTGGGAATATAAAGAATTCCATAACTCCTGGATGCGAAGTCTTATGTGCAGGAGCTACCTTCAGTGCCCTGGCCTGGGGCTGTGCATCATACCTTGGGTAGCCCTGCTGGAACCATCCTCTCCTAACTCTACCCACACTGATAGACCTTTTTGCTCAAACAACACTGGCGCCCAGGATCAGGAATAATCCACTAGAAATAGTTTTGGAATGTTAAAATGGTCCCGTTTTGCATTAAAACAGCAAAGACAGCTGTTCTCCTGAAAAGGGAAATGAAGGAAGAATCTTCAACTGCTCTGGATTTCCAAGCCCAGAACTCCAGGATGGCTTTCCCAAGAACTGAATGAAGGGAGAAAACAAGGAAACTACCTGTTCCCAGACCCAGTAGGCGAAGAAACTGGAGCTGAAGACCTGACAGACCTCAGGCTGCACCAATGAGTCCCCCGACCCTAGGGGCAGAGATAAAAGCAGCCAGACCAGGGCTACAGCAGCACAAAACGTGGCATCAGGCACTCTGCTCCACAGGACCACATTATTATAGGAAGTGGGCTGTGTGGGAGCAAATGAAACAGCCCGCTCCTGGGTGAGATGCCCTTTTAGACCCCAACTAGAACTCAAGATCTTTATAGCCCATGGGAGAGGGGCAGGACACACGGAAGCTGTGAAAGGCTGAGCAGTAGCTTGAGCTGGGTCTGGGGCTGGTGAGGTGGTTCCTGAGCATTGTTTTGGGACATGAAGCAAAGACCTGATTTGCTTGCTATGCTTGGAATAAAATAACCACCTTTGATGGGGTTGGGTAAAGGCCAAAACAAAGCCAAATGGAAGATGATCACTGGAGTGGCTCTAGGTGACTGCATGGCCAGGGGAGCATATGGGTCACCTGTGTGCTTACTATGTTTCTCTGTCCCATCTGTGCTGCCAGTATGGCGCCTGCTGCCCTAGACAGAATGTCAGATGGTTTGGGGTCGAGTTAATAGAGAAATCATGAAGCACAGCATTGGCACCTGGTGTGGTGTAGGAGCTGCTAGCCCTCCAGGCCCCAGAAAAGCCAAGGAATGGCTCATTCCTACAAACAAGCCCAGATTAGAGTGGGTCTTCCTCAGTACAATGGTGTCAGTATCTTCCTGCATGTCCAAATAATTCCATGATAGTTACTTCTAAAGGATATTAGAAAGAAGCTGATAAAGCTGATAGTAGGATTTACTGGGTACAATTTTCTACCTTGATGCCATCATACATACTATCTAGTAAAGCAAATCTCAAGGAACAAAGCATTCCTTGAATATATTTCTTTAAGCCAGAGGTCCCCAAATTTACTTGGCTAACCACCTCATTTTAAGACAAAAAGTCACCCAGTATCCCCTGGAATAGACTAGAAACCGTCCCCACTGTTCCCATTTGCATCCAAGGCTATTTACCACCACCCCATTCCAGAAAACTCCCCCTGGAGGGCGGCACAGGCTACTTTGGAAAGCACTGCTTTAGGCAAATCTAGTGTCCCTGTTAATGGTGTCTTAACCTGCATTTTTAGAAGCAGTTGTCCTTGAAATAAAGTCTGCCAAGGGTTTGTTCTGGAGCTGCAACTGGGAAAACATTCATGCCCAATCCTGCCTTTTAAATCTCCAGAAATACCTACAGACACTAGCAGGCTATGGGTTGCAGTTCTCCACTCCGTTACCTACTTCCCACAGAGAGGGGGGCGGGGAAATACTCAGGGAACTGCTCGCAAATCTAGGGTTTTCAGCAGCATGTCACAGGAACTCAGCAGGTCTGTTCTGAATAGGTTTTTCTTGTGTCTAGATAGATCTCAGCAGGAAGATTCTGGGCTCAGCTGACTTTATTAGGTCCAAAGACAACTACAGCTGGTGATGTGGTGGATGTGTGCAGTCGAGATCCAATGCTGCAGCATCAACTTTGTGAAGTGCCTTCTTGTTCAGTGTCTGACAGCTTGGAGGATCTCCAGGGCCAGTGAGGTCACTGCATTGTCAGTAGATGAACTAAGGGGAAAAAACAGAGTAGAAACCCTTAGGAATCTTCAAGTGAAGTGCCCCTCTGTCAAAGGAGTGGGCCTCTTTCTGCACCAGCTAGATCAGCTACTTAGAAATGCCATCATGCAGCACCAAGGTTCCAAGACTCTGGACTGAGGCAAATGCCTCTCAGCGCAGACTCAGTGGTGCTCAGGACCGGCCTTGGCAGTACCCCTATGTGAGGCCTGAGCTACCCAGACCCACCACCACTCATCTGAACCACCTTGGTCGAGTGCATTAACAGCTGAATGGGCAAACAATGTCTGGCGGATGGCAGCCAGATCGTACCAGGCCCAATAGGCCAATTCAGAGCCTGCCTGCAAGTGACTTGTACAAAGCAGCAAAGATTCCAGGCATCCAACAAACGACAATTCTCCCAGCTCCAGAGTGCCTCTTCCTGGCCAGACAGCCAGGAACTATGGGTTCTCATAGGTGTGGTTGTGTGATTAAGTGGTTAAAATGGAAACTTAGTGGCTGGAGCAAACTCAGACACATTTGAACCTATGCCTTAACAACTGCTCGCGAAGAAAAGAATGACACAGAGCAGTGAACCTTGAAGTATAAAATTAGCTCCTGGCACACCCTTGATTGCACAGATGCAGAGCCTTTGCCAAATAAATGGGGGCCAGGGGGAGGGCATGGGGGAAGTGGGTTCACAGTGGATGGGCCTGCAGCGGGGGGACAGTGCCACACATTCCTACTCCGGGCATCAAAGGTCCCGAGGGGCAGTGGAATTCGTTTGAACTCAGCCTGTTCTTGGCTGGGTCTGGGCTAGACTGGTGGGGCTCTGCTGCCCGTCTTACTGGCAGCACCAGAATCCCAGTGGACCTGCATGGAGGACCATGCATTGATGGAGGTAAGAAGCCTGGTAGGGCCACTTGGACAGACCAAACAGGCCATTTCCTGGTGGCGTCTTGCTTGGCCCACACCAGATCTATCTGGCATAGATGTTCCACTTGCTCTGGGATGTTGAGTGTGGTGCCGGAGCAGTCATCAGCCTCATAGAACATGAAAGATTTGTGATATCCTTGGTCCAAACTGGGGTCCTGCTCTCCCAAATCAAATGGGTGGAGTACAGGCAAGTTGCTGGCTTTGTTTTTTCTTTTTGGGTCACACCCAGCGATGCTCAGGGGTTACTCCTGACTTTGCACTCAGGAATTACTCCTGGGGGACCATATGGAACGCCAGGGATCAAACCCAGATTGGCCACGTGCAAAGCGATCGCCCTACCTGCTGTGCTATCACTCCGGCCCCACTGTCCCTGGCTTTGACTGTAAGATGAGTGTTGGGTGAGGTCCTGCTGGGCAAGGAATCCCATGAAACCCAGCACCAATGAGGAAGGGCTCTCAGGAGCTGCCTGCTGCGTGCCACTCTTCAGGGGCTCTCCAGGGCCTCCCACAGCCCAGATCTGCCTGAGTAACTTCTGCATAGCACTGCTGTCTATGGAAACAGGCGCTCAGAGCAGCTGAGCAGAGGGCTGTGCCCCAGCCTAGGAAGCCACTGTCCACATCGAACAGCCCAGGGCCTGCAGGGCCTGAAGCAACCTTTCCCATCAGCCAGACTGTCCTTGGGCAGGAGTGGAACAGGAAAGGGGGTGGGCGGGCTCAAATGGCTTCTCTAGCCGCCTCACCTAACTCACAAGAACTGTGCAAAGGTGGGTTGGAGTGGCGCCTCTCCACGGAATCAGTAAAGCGGCTACCATTGAGCTTTCTCCAAATTCACATCAAAACCATTGGGGCACAGAGTGGAAGAGTAAAAGTGCGAGGAAATGCTGGGGCCAGGTGGAGGTGAGGTCTCTGGCCAGCTTCCTCAGTTCTGGGGAAACCACCCAGGGAGGAGAGGTGGCTGCCTGCCCCGAACCAATCAGACACCCCGACTCCAGCACCCTGATCAGCCCCAGCACCTGCAGATGGGCTCTGCACAGGCCTTGCTCTTCCTTCCCAGGCAGCTTTCCTTTGGTCCCAGGGCACTGAGGAAAGACCAACAGCAACACCCCAGCTCTCCAAGAGGGAGAGAGGGTGAGAAGGAGAGAGAGAGGAGAGAAAGAAGAGAAGAGTAGAGCAGGAGAGAGAGAGAGAGAGAGAGAGAGAGAGAGAGAGAGAGAGAGAGAGAGATTGGGGATTTGCAGTGGGATCGTGGGAGGCTCCTTTCCTCCACCAAGCAGCAGCTTGATTGTGGGGCCAGCACACAGGCCGGTTCTGACCTCCTCACTCAACACTGTGCTGTGTCTGCAGGGATGGGCTGCTGAGCCTGGTCCTGAGCTGCTGTTTCTAACCCCTACTTGGCTAGGCTTCCCGTGGCACTAATGTGCTCCTGGTGCTGATGTTTGCATGGGCTGGGTGTTGCCACGAAACAGCACCTTTCCCAGGCCAGGAGGAATCTCAGGCCTTCATGGGTGTGTGTGGGGGGGTCCCTGCAGTGGAGGGGACTGGGAGCAAGGAGCAAGGGGAGGATGAAAGCTGGGACCTGAATAGATGATTCTATGTCTGTCTTTTGGGGCCTACTCACCCACCAGCCGGGGCCAGCCACTCAAGAGCCCGCAGAAGGCCACCGGCGTGCCTGAGGCTCTCCAGGTGCTTCTGGTTGGAGGTGATCTGCCGGGAAAGAGCAGAGTGGTTAGCTGGCTCATACTGGACTCCTGTTGGATGGGCATCCTGATTCTCAGGCTACCAGTGGCACTGGACAGTGAATGCCCTGAGCCCCACCCCTGCTGTTCATAGGTTGGAGGTGGACAGCGGTGGTCCTGGTGGGTGAGCAAGAGGGAGGGAGTCCACTGGGGCTGGAGACGTCCAGATCAGTGAGGTGCTCACCCCCATGGCTCACTCAGGAGGACTCTGGGAGCCTGGAGTTTGGCTGTTAAAGCAAATTACATTGGGAGTGAACCTCCCAGCTGTCAGCAAGACCTTGTGTACTTGGGTGCAAAAGAACCTCTTTCACATGGAGGGAGGGATCGTGCCTTTGAATACATGAGATCTGCAGGCTTGACAGAAGAGGAACTACAAACTAAACTTCTTGGGGACCCTGATAAATGGGTCCTTGCTAATTGCCATGATTCTGGAAGTACCAGAGAGAGAAACACTTGGGCAACCCCTGAGTGCAGAGTCATAAGCTCTTAGGGTTAAAGGGGAGTTGGGTGGGAACTGGGTTCAGATTGGGCTTATAGAGCCCTCTCTGGGCTCCTCCTAAAGATAAGTTCATGTCCAGTGAGGTGGGAGGTGGGGGAGGACTTAATAATAACCCTCATTCTAGAAAGAGATGGGCTTTCTTCTCCTAATTCGTCGTTCATATTCTAGTTCCTTTCTCCTTTTCATGTTCTGTTTTTATTTTTGTTACTTAGAGACTGTTTGGGAGCAACATATGTGACACTTGACAGAAAGCTATACTTTACCATAGGTTGCTCCTTCATTTCAAAGGGGGAGCAAGTAGCATGAGAAGAGAGGAGGTAACAGGGACGAAGGGGCCATCTCAGCCACACCCAGGGAGCCTGGCTCCATTGCTCGAGTGTGCTCTGTCTTCCTACTGGATCCCAGTGACCAGTGCTGGATTGTCACCACCCTGGTTCCTAAGGAAAGGCTGAGTATTCCTTGCGAGTCAACTTGGTATGTCAGATAAGTTGCATCTTCGCGTGGATTCTGAGTTACATGGGAAGGAGGTTGCCCCTTCACTGAGTTGCCACCATACTTCCTGAGACCACTTCTAGCTCACCTACCACAGGTGGGACTTTGACAAAGATTTGCCTCTCGCAGAAACTTCCTAAACGTTGTTCTGGAATGACAACCCCACCTGATGAGTTCAAAAGATTGCTTATTTGAAAATATCAGCTATTCTCCAATTATATCTGAAACCACAAATTTATTCAGAGGTGGTCTGTAGGGAGGAGGTCCTTCTGGTTTTTCCTCAAAATTGTGTTTCAGATTGTTCAGTTTAGTCACACCCAGATTCATTGTCTTGACCACCCTAGCCTGGACCAGAGTATGGGGGAGAAATCATCCTGCAAGATGCAAAGAAATCACAATTGTGTTCACTCACAAGGCTAGTTAGAAGGTGTAAATAGGAAAATGCAGTGAGAATTATGTGTTCAAAAGAAGAGAGCAAAGTAGCTTTAAGAGCATCTGACATAAATACGCACATAAACAAGGTCAAAAAGAATTAATTGAGAATGATGCAATTTGACCACTTAGCTGAACTCCTATTAACAAACGACATCAACCGTGTTCTTGTATATGAAGGTGAGTTGATTAGAAAGTGAAATTTTAAAATAAGATTTGTCAGAGGTTAAGACAGGAAAATTACAATGTCAGCCTCTCTCTTCTTATAAAATCTGGACTGAACAACAGTGCAGCTCTTTGAGAAGGCTGAAAAGCAAATAGCAAAAGGTGGGTTAGAAAAGGACACTGACTTCAAAGCACCACCAAACTGGAGATGAGCTGACCACTTGTTTCCCAACTTGAATTCAATAAACCCACATCCCAGAGTCAGGCACTGCAGGTCAGAAACGGGAGTTCCAGGTATTAGGAATGGGAATAGCAATTCCCTAGTCTCAAAGCAGAGAAATCCTCTCCAGGTCCTTTTTAGATTTTCTCTTGCCACAGGCCCCAGGAAATGCTGGGAGGACAGTGACCACAGCACAACAAGAACAGCCAACACTGGGAGTCTGCAGCCAAAACTCCTCTTTCACTTGTTCTTCCAGAGTTTCACCCAGACAGGACCATAGTAGAAGTGAGCAGTAAGACCTCACACGAAATAGGAGACCACCACCTTCCTGTACTTTGGGAGGTCCTGGCAGCCACACCCATATCCCATCACCACTGCCACCGCCACCATGTAGCCAAGTAAGGTCATCTACTGGCCCTATTCCAGAGACTCATAAATCTAGAAAGAGCTTAAAGAGCTGCAAAAACTTCTTGGATACCCAATCCCAGCTGATACCTCTCGGGCCATCTCAGGAGGGGGTTGGGCCAAGTTCCTGCCCTCCCAAAGCCCCATCAGCCACACTCATACCACAACAGCTGCCACCATACCTCTGGCCAGACTGCCCAGGTAAATATTCTGGATTTTCTGAAGTGACATCTCCAAACTGTGCAATACTAACATCTCAGTAGGAGCGCACCAGATTGGATAAGAATGTAATGGAGACACCAACTAATCTTGACTAATAAAAACAACAAAGAAGGCTTACCTTGCAACAACAGCTTAGTAAATCCTCAGACAAGGACTGAATGCCCCATGGTGAAAGACAACAATTTTCATAAATTTTCTTTTACAGAAGTATATTTTGATAAAGGGTGTTGGGAGGATCCTCCCAGGATGGGAGAATCATGCTGAAAGTAGACTATAGACCAAACATGATTGCCACTCAATGTCTCTTTTGCAAACCACAACACCCCAAAGGAGAGAGAGAACAAAAGGGAATGCCCTGCCACAGGGGTAGGGTGGGATGGGGGGTGAGAGGGATACTGAGACCCATGGTGGTGGAAAATGGGCACTGGTGGAGGGATGATCATTGTATAACTGAAACCCAAGCACAAAAATTTGTAAGTCTACAATTGTACCTCATGGTGTTTCACTAATAAAAATTTAAAAAAAGAAGTATATTTGGATCATTTCATGAGCAATATAAAATACATTACTGTGGGCTTGCTATGGGGGCTGGCTAAAAGGGGTGGTTGGGAGAGTGGAGACAATGATGGATGGAGATGACAGTGGTGGTGGGATTGGTGTTGGAATACTGAATGCCTGTAATATAATCTTGAGCAACTTTATATACCATAGTCTTTAAATAAAGTGGGGGGAGGGGGAGGGAGAAAATGGGAAACCAGAAAACCAGAGCATAGTAGGAGAAAACGAATCCGGAAAACCTCGAGAAAACACACACGTACAATTGCATTTGAACTCCATCCTCTACACACATAGAACTGATTCAAATGGCCCACCTCCAACTTAGAGAACCAAGCTAACTTGGACCCAGTTCCCAGACTGACCCAGAATAGATGGACACACATGTCTGATCCAAAGAGTCCAGATAATGTGTCAATACTTAGAGTTTTGACAAAACTCTAAGCACAGTCTCTCATGATGTAATATTATGTGGAGGTGGCATTTTGGGATCTACCCGGGCAATGCTCAGAGGTTGTTTACTGCAGTGCTCAGAGGACCATGAGATGCCAGGGACTGAACTGGAATCAGTTTCCCACAAAGCAATCACTGAAACAAGCAATGATGCTTGAAACCAGTATTAAAATAGACTATTAAAGGGGCCAGAGAAATAGGACAGGGGTTACAGTGCTTGTCTTATATGTAGCCAACTCTGGTTAGATCCCTGGCACTGCATCTAGTACTCTTAAGCAGAAGTGATGCCTGAGCACAAAGCCAGGCATAAGTGTCCTTGGGTGTTAGTCTTATATTATAATATTTTATATTCCACAAATGAGTGTAGTCATTCTATGTCTGTCACTCTCTTTCTGAATCATTTCACTTACCATGATACTCTCCATGACCATCAACTTATAAGCAAATTTCATAACTTCATCTTTCATGATAGCTGTATAATATTCCATTGTGTAGATGTACCAAAGTTTCTTTAACTAGTTGTCTATTCTCGGGCACTTGGGTTGTTTCCAGATTCTGGCTATAGTGAACAGTGCTGCAATGAACATACAGGTTCAGATATCATTTCTACTGTGATTTTTTGCACCCTCAAGGTATATTGCTAGAAGTGGTATTGCTGGGTCAAATGGGAACTCAATTTCTAGTTTTTTGAGGAATGTCCATATTGCTTTCCAAAAAGGCTGCACCAGTTGGCATTCCCATCAACTATGTATTCCTCAAAACACTAGAAATTGAGCTCCCATTTGACCCATCAATACCACTTCTGAGAATATACCAGGGGGAGCCAAAAATACACAGCAGAAACCCCATGTGCACTTCTGTGTTTATCGCAGCACAAATTACAACAGTCTGAATCTGGAAACAACCCGAGTGCCCAAGAACAGACGACTGGATAAAGAAACTATGGTACATCTACACAACGGAATACTATGCAGCTGTTAGGAAAAGCGAAGTCATGAAAATTGCCTATAAATGGATGAACACGGAGAGTATCATGCTGAGTGAAATTAGACAGAAGGAGAGGGACAGATACAGAATTACTGCATTCATTTGTGGGATTTTTAAAAAAATAGTGTTAGAGGGGCTGGAGTGATAGCACAGCGGGTAGGGCGTTTGCCTTGCACGCAGCCAACATGGCCGACACAAGTTCGATTCCCAGCATCCCATATGGTCCCCCGAGCACCGCCAGGAGCAATTCCTGAGTGCATGAGCCAGGAGTAACCCTTGAGCATCGCCGGGTGTGACCCAAAAAGCAAAAAAACAAAATAGTGTTAGATTATTATCCAAGGCCAGGGAAAACAGGGGCCAGAAGGGGTCAATGGTTGGAAATTACCATGAGTGTGTGTGGGGTGTAGGGTAGTTAATATAGAGAAGGGTCCAGTATGACAACTACTAGAAATGATCACTCTGGACAAAAACTGAATGTTGAAAGTAAGTTAAGGGATATACATGATAATCTTTCAGCATCTGTATTACAAACCATAAT